TCAATTAAACCTTCATGGCATCGTCACTGTTGAGTCAGCTATGGTAGGTAGGATTTCACATTTTCTGCTTCCATCTTATTGATATTATTTCATTTCTTAGAGACTTTGCCTCCAGTTGATAGAAGAGCACGTAGATGATTCAATTATAAGGAAAGACACACATTCAGAAATGAGCACAAAGGAGGCCCAGCATGTAACAAATGGCAGTGAAGATAGTACCTCTGTGCAGTCCAAACCATCATATGCTTCAGTAAGTTTGTATCATCTTTGAATCATAGTCTTAATATGTCATCTTTCTGGCTTTTCTTGGTCCGAAGACTGCGCTATGCAATTTGGCCACAGGAAAGTACTTTATTTTTCTTCCAAAAAGTTTGGATACATTGCTGGCAAGAGCATGAGTATATTTTTTTTCTATCATTGCAGAGATATAATTCTCTCTCTCATCTTGATGGAGGAGAAAGCCTTGTAGAGCAAAGTTCATTTGCATTTATATTTGTTTTATGTAGGCTGATGGTAAAACCAATGATAAAGCAACCAGGAGGCTTGAGATACCAATTTGTGAGAACATATATGGTGCAATGACCAAGGCTGAGCTTGTAGAAGCTCAAGATAAAGAACTTAAGTTGGCTCAACATGACAGGACCATGGAACAAACCAAAGAGAAAAAGAACGCCTTGGAGTCTTATGTCTATGAAATGCGGAATAAGGTTTAACTCTACATCTGAAACATATGCTTTATATTTCTGTCTGTTTTTCTCAATATGCTGACATTTAATTATATCTATGCGAAGCTTTTCAACACCTATCGGAATTTTGCATCTGACAAGGAGAAAGAGGGCATTTCCAGGAGCCTACAGGAGACAGAGGAGTGGCTTTATGAGGGTGGGGAGGATGAAACGGAAGACGCCTACACTTCCAAATTAGAGGATCTTAAGAAGGTTGTTATTTATTATGATAATCTTAAAAGTTTACCTCTGTTGCTTTCTTCTTCTTGTCTCACTGCCTATTTTGTTTCTTATAGTTGGTGGATCCAGTTGAGAGCCGATTCAAAGATGAAGAAGCAAGAGCACAGGCTTCAAGCGATCTGCTGAATTGCATTGTGGCTTGTAGAATGTCTGCAAAATCCCTGCCAAATGAGGATAGAGAATTGGTATGATAATTTGTGATTACACATTATAAATGCAGTATTTACTCATTACCTCATGTTCAAACTGATTGTGGCTTTTTGTTGTTCAGATCATAAACGAGTGCAATAAGGCAGAGGAATGGCTGAGAGAGAAAACTCAGCAACAAGACTCTTTACCTAAGAACCTTGACCCACTATTATGGTCAAGTGAGATCAAGAGCAGGACTGAGGATCTAAACATGTACTTATTTTGTGCTTCTAACTTTCACTTCTCATTCAAATTTTTGCTGTTCACGTTTGACTTGTTGGAACAATTTTACTTTAGATGATCTTAGATGTCATCTACTAATTCTTGATTAATTGGTTTCAGGAAGTGTAAGCATATAATGACACCCAAGGCTTCTCATCCGGACTCAGAGAACAAGGGCTGGGACCAGCAAGTGTAGGTTAAATGCATAGGAAACCTCCTTGGAAAAGTTTACAATTCACACTTACAGTAATTAGCAGAGCACACTGATCACATCATGCATGACCTCATCCCAAATTCAGTATGTGGGGGCTTGGACCAGCTAATATACATTTGGCTTTTGAGGCATAGTAATTCATTAGAAATGTTAGTTATAATTTACTAGAACCTACCAATACAGTCAGGGTTTTCATTAGATACATAGGGAAGCACATACAAGTACCAGAGGGTCTTTTTTTTTTTTTTTCTGAACCATATCTTCTTCCATATTATTCAAAGGTCTTGTTACATAGATGATAGATAGGATACTAGTTCTCAAAAACAGGTGTATTACTGTATCTTACAGTTACTTGAAGCAAACATGCTTCAACCCTGATCATCTGATAACCTTGAATGTTAGGCATACGACATTTTCATTTTTTGGATATTTTATCTTTTAATTTGGGTTATCCCCTTTATACATAATATAGACATGGAGTTTTCCAAGATTAACAGGTAAATGCCCATTTTGCAGGCAATCTTCCATCAGCTTAGGAGACTTGTAAACACATTCCCCAACTACTACCTCAGAGTTGGTGTAAAATGGGATCTGTTCTTATTGAATTAGGGTTGAGTTAAATTTAGAATTGAATCACCTATCCATTGAATGGACAAATGGGAAAGCAAGTAAACACTATCATTGAAACATGTTACAACATTCACAGCACAAACAAAAAGACCAAAAGGGAAATACATTGGCACATACGAAGGCATTGACCATCATTTTTTCTTCTTGCCATTGCTTTTCTTTTTGGACTTCCTAAAGCCAGCTACACTCTCCTGTGTTAACAACAAAAAGTTGACTTCAATAAGATACCAGCATAAGTCTCAAGAGGAACGTCTTTAAATCATCAATGTCTCAATAGGCCTCAGCCTACGGCATTGCTTCTAAGAGGAGGGAAATGAATGGCGGTCTGCTAAGGGCAGGCCAGAGGCTTTAAGTTTCAAAAAAGTATAACTGTGTTAATGTATGTTACCTTCCGATAATGCCTATAGGCCATTTGACCCGATAATTCTTGTCCACTTCTTGAGACATAAACCTGCAGCAGAATAATGAAATTATCAAAATTAAAAATTTGCAGCAAGATTGCTACTACTATAACCAAGTTCTACTTTTACCATGACATAATAGAGATTTACGGCAATTTTGCTAAATAGAATCAAAGGCATCATCTCTTCAAATGCAAATGGTTGGATTCAGAGGTGCATGGGCTACATAATTATGTTTAGAAATCGATGTGCAAAAAAAAGTGCAATGCAAATGCAAACTGCAACATTTCCAACATACCTTCCTTCCCTCTGGAGATGTGTACCAGTGACCAGCAGGTTGATCACTAGCATGAACCCTTCTCTTCCCAGCATTCCTTGGAATAGCTGCACCGCTTTTCAGATCTACCCAGCCTTCAGAAGCAGTTTCTTCAGCATTTGATTTTTTTGATTTATTTCTTCTACTTGTTGAACAGTTCTTGCCACCACCTTTTTGAGATCCTCTCTGTTTAGAAGATTCTTCATTGCTGAATTGACTCCTGCAGCCACATTAAGCACTTAAGTGCATAATGAACAAAATGACATTGAATACAGAAGTCTAAAGCAATGGGTATAAAACACAGAAAAATTGATAGGTTTTAAAGTTACTTACATGTAATCAATAACTGACACATTACGTTGTTGATTTCCTCTGTTCTTGACCATGTGCAATGGGGAGAAGAAGGGTAAGCGAGTGCGGACTAATTTCTGGATTCTTGGATCATCATGGAAAAAGTAGCAATGTGCTGGAGGCAAGGGGTCATCCAAATTCAAGAGTTCCTCAAACTTTTGGTTCTCAAGCTTCTGAGCTGCATTCATATCCTTCACAGATTGAAAATATTCTTTAAAGACCTCATCAAAAGCAGGTGTTGGAATATGAGAAGTATTAATTGGAGTGAAATCTTTCCATAAATCCTCATTCTGAGGTGTGACAACTGATGCCTTTCTCTTGTTATCACTAACTGTAGACTGTTGTTCCTTTGATGGTGGATCAAGTTTATGAGCTCCTTTGCTTTTATCCTCACAGTCAGAAGGACCTTCAGAACCATCGGAATCAGAGTCAAGTAACTTGAATCTTCGAAGAGGACTGATCGTTAACCACGGAAATGTCAACCCACCATGTCTGGCCTCTAAACTTGCAGAAGCTGGGGCATCTGAAGCTTGTTCCCTTTTCCTTGAACTACACTGGCCTGATGATTGAGTGGTCAAAACCCCAAGTCCCTTCAATGAAATCTTGGAACTGCCACATACAGAATGGTTTTGTGTTGATGAATCCACATCTGCTAATAAACATATACTTCATAAAGTCAGCATCAATCCAGAGTATAAATCAGGGAACAAGTGCACAAGCTATTGATTTGCAAACAAAGGATTATAACCCAAAACAAATACTGAAAATATATGCTTCAATATAACTTGACCGCAGTTAGATGACCCAAGTTCAGGTTGCTAAGATATCCATTCTATTTAAAGCCATAGCTTAACCATTTTCAGATGACCCAAGTTCAGGTTGCTAAGATTGTGATCAAAATTAGATCAACTTAGCTAATAATCCTCCAACTGAAATGCTCTTTCACACATATACTAATATGCATATTCATAGATAGCCAACATAAACACCTCAAGCGTAATCCGAAGTACAACTTCATACGCATTTCACAGTCAAGTTCATGGAAAAGCTGATCAAAGCTTTGTTAAACTGACATTAACTTCATATCCTTGCCCTCTCTAACTCATTTCTAGAAAAGCCAAACCCAATTTCTTTCAACAATCAATCCATCATAAAAAAATCTCAGAATATCACCAAAATTGCCATAACTAAAATCCCATTCCAATTGAGCAATATGCTTCAATCTTTCTTTTTGATTCTCATAAATTGCTCAGAAAACTTTCGTTTTCCTCTATCTTTTAGTTTTCAATTACATCTCTTTTATTCCCAGGAGCTAAAACTTTACACTTCCCCTTCCCAATTTAAGCTCTCTTTGACCTCAAATTTCCCAATAATAAATTTAAACAAAAAATATGAACCCAGAAAATCTAGCTTCAAACATGAGAGAAAAAGGAAAACCCACTTCTAATAAATGAATAGACCACCAAGATCAGCCAAATAAAGGGGGGAAAAAAGGTACCTTTGTTTTCCTGTGAAGAACAGAACTCTTCAATCTCATCATCCCCATCATTCCAAGCCAACGGCTTCTCTGATTCTTTCTTCGTCGCCGAAGATTTATCGCCGGCCCGACGCAACCGCTTTAACACACGAGTAGGCTCCGGCCGGGTATCCGGATCCGAGTCCATGACTTCTTGCTCAGGCCCGAGCTCGTCTTCGCCGTCTTTGGTGGCACCGAAGCTCGCCGAAGAATCTGGGGCTAAGAGGGGTTCGGGGTGGTCCACGGTAGGTGACCGGGGCTCCGTGTCGGCATCGAGGTCGAGCCCGAGAGAGAAAGAAGGAGCTTCGAAGTCGGCCATGGAGAGACAGAGATGAAAGAAGTTCCCGCGCTATTTAATGGTTTGGCGGCGGTTTAAAATTTTCATAATATTTTATTATTTTTAACTAAAATTAAATTGCTGATGGGCTGGGTTTGGGCAGGCTTAGCCTAGGCCCATTCATCGGCCTAAAACATGCAAATAAAAATTTAAATAGTCGATAATTAAATATTTGATACGTAATATTTGGACTGTATATTATTATGGGATAAATTTTTTTACATAAAATATTTTTATATATAAAGAAAACATGGTAAAAAATTTTAAAATCCAGATTTATAAATTTAAAATTTTAAGTTTTAATCATTTGTAATTATTAAATTAAATCTATTTTAATTAACTTTAATTCTTGATAAACAAATTCAAAAAGCGATATAAATCAGATTGCGAAATAATTAACTTTAATGATTCTTTGAAACATCAACTACCCTAAATAGATTGAGTCCTATTCCATATTCGAATTGGTTTCAAAAACCTTAACAAACCTGTTAAATTTGTTTTCTTGAATTACAATTTATGTACTCTTTTAATTAATTACTCAAAATTGAATTTCAACATATTTTCTCCATTGACACATACAAGATATTAACAAGATAAAAATTGAGAAATTCTTGAGCACATTCTAATAATTAAAGAAGTTTCAAACATGGCATACTCATTCCGCCTTATTATTAAAGAAAATATCTTTCCTTTTCTTTTCTTGGTATGGATACGAAAGAGGTTAAAGATCAATGCCTCAAAATTGAGAATCCTGAGATATATATATATATAACAGTTTCACTAATAAAACCACCTCTGTTCAATCCAGCTGGAGAATAGGGGCTCAGTTGTATCGTAAACATCAGCCCACAAAATGAAATTGACAGAGCTATAGGTATAACATTTCTTCTTTCTCTTCATGGGAATACTCTCCAATAAATTTGTTGCCATCCTGAGGCAATCAATGGCCCAAAACCTATTATGGGTCCTTCGATTTAAATTAATTAAATCAGAAAAATAATGGATGTGGGTCCTTTCTTCACATTATATGGGCTTCAGCTTGTGTATGTTGCTGGAAAACAGGGTATATGCTGGCTGTATAATTAGAGTTTGAAATCTAGAGCTAGTTCAAGACAGATATAAATTAGATTGTGAAATTCAGTACTTATACCAACCATACATATGGCAGATGAAATTAAGAAAATCAAATCTGAAAAATTAGTCTAATGTAATGCAATAATAAGTTATTATCTCAAAAAATTGCAATATATTGGATTAACGAATGATTCTTAAAGTTTGTTTGATATCGTGTCTTCATTGAAATCATCAAATTTTGATTGCAAACAAAATACGGGGTAAAATTTATTATATAAATATTACTAATATATGAAAAAACTAGTGCACTATGTGATTACATTACATTACTTCATATTGTTTAAGCCATAGGAAACATAGATTAAGATCACCTGTTGAAGAAATATGACGAGTAAATCAAAAGACTATAGCCATCTTTGTTGGATCCAGCAGGAGTGCAAGTACTCTGTTGTGTTGTAGAAATTGGTTGCAGCTTGTTTGCTTCCAAAAGTCCGATACTTGCCTGTTCTAAGACAATAGTAAACGATTTCTTTTCCCTTAATTTTGGGGAAATAAATTTTGTTTTCCATTCCAGGGCTTGGCCACCAAGGAAAAAGATGATGGAGTACTCACAAAGAACATGTAATTTCCAAGGTCACTTACTTTGCGCCAAGCCATGGTAGTTTTATCCAACTCAAAAACACCAACACTTTCTCCCAAGTTATCAACAAATACTGAATGAAGTTTCCCATTGCATTCCAATAAGTAGCTATGATCAGAAAAGCTGCAAGGTTTTACGGGCTTTAGAAGAACTTCCCACCGAACCAGGTAAACATCATCTATGTCCTCAACTGAAAACACCCCTAGGTTACCATGCATTCCCAAAAAATAAAAAGCTCCTTCGAAGTAAACTGGACTACTATGATTTGGAATGAAAATAGAAAAATCATTACGTGTAAATTGATACCATTCTACATCTTGTGAAAAAATTAAGCACAAGATTGAAAACGATGAAATCCCCACGATTAGACAGTATGGTGAAGTCGACAAAGAGGTAAAACCAAAGCTGTAGCACACGTCCATATGAACAAGTGGTGGTGGAACATGGATGAGTTTCTTCGTAAAGGGCTGATAAAAGAACATAGAGCCGCCTTGATCTCTTGACGACATTAGCAACCATCCCTCTTTAGAATAACGAATGTCAAAATCTATTATAGACTCGGGAATGTTCATCAAATACCTACCACCAAACTTGGGATCGATTAAATTGTGGAGACTCCTACTACTACCTTGAGCAAACATCAGCCATGGGGAGAGAGGATGGGACTTTAGTACTTTACGCGACGTTTCTCTCCACTGAATATGAGGGGCTACTAGTAGAGAAGTCTTGCAGACTAGACGGAAATTGATGTAATCAAGTAAGTAGAGATTATTTGCAATCAATGCTATAATTTCTAATGGAAGGTCGCAGAGGTTTCTGACTTCTGCTTCACTGTTGTCTGGTGAAAACTTCAGGATCTCTTTGCCTTTCCTCTCTTCAGTTTCTATTTCCTCTTCTTTTTCTTCTGGCTTTACTTCTTTACTAAGTATCTGGAAGCCTTCTGGTTTTCGATTACTGAACAAGGAACTGTCAATCAAAACATGACTATTTAGTAATAAATAACATGCAACCACCCGAGCATTTGGCTTAGGAATAGGTGCATGTATTTCCTACTCAAAGACCAAAATCCCCTTTCTCCCAACTTAAAAAAAAAAAAAGGGAATAATCACATAAGAAATCGAAAAATCATATCATAGGATGGGTAGGTAGAGGTTTTACCTTAAATCAGGCATGACCCAGAAGGGTGTATACCACCACTTCGGAAGATTCTCCCAAGGAAGAGAAACTGAGATGCTTTTATCTTCAATGTTAAAGGAGTACAAGCATCTATCTGAGCCCACTGTAAAAATATATACGAAACCACCTTCAAGCCCTGAATCATTGGTGGGACAGGAAATAGCATAGACTGCGGTTCTACACAAGAAAAACGCTCGACCTTTTGCACTTCTCACCTGACTCCATTCCATTGTACTAAAATTCAACCTGGAAATCTCAATGTCTAGGACCTGACTAACATTTACCCCTCCCCATGTAACTTCTATTAGACAAAGTTCTCCATAAGATTCTACCAAGTACCTTTCCAGGCAATCAGAATACGATGATAAGCGATTTGGTAACATGCAATTCAATGATCTGAACATGAAATGCTCAGGCTTAACTTGGTCGATAACCTTTATCTGCCGACTCATGGGAACGTACCATTTACCCTTATAGTTCACAGGGGAAGAATAGAGTAAGCAATTACTAGCACTAGGTTCATCATCTATGATCTGCATCTCCATATCCATCTCCTCAGCAGGTATCTGAGTCCACATTTTATCCCCAAGTTTGCAGAAGATAAAAGATTTAACAACATTCTCGAACACTAACACCATGCTGCCTGGATTGTCTGGAGGTGATAGCAAAGAGCCGGCAGTGATTCTCTGATCAGGCTTCAAATCCAATGGAGGCAGCTTGATCAACTCCGATGATACCGGGTTCCAGAGGAGGATAAACTCACACCGGATTGTACGCTTTGTGATGGTTTTATTAGATATAATTAACCAGCCATAAGAGTGACCCAAAATTCCATTGATCCACATCTTCGGGGTGCTCTTACCGTAAGTCTTAAAGGGCTGAGACATGCCGCAAAACGTTTGGCGACTCTCATCTTCACAATGAGGGAAAACAAGCCAAGGACACGATCCTAACGTTTTCAGCAACCGACTTCGCTCAATCTCCTTACCTTCCTCCATGATCGTGAATCTTAGTCTGACGTTTCAAGAGTAGGGTTTAGGCTAACACACAATTCAAGGCAGGGAAACCTGTTGGAATTAGTATATATATATATATATATATATATATATATATATATATATATATATATATATATTATTCGAAACTTCAATCTTAATATTAATGGAAATTAGAATTTCAGCTTTAATCTGAAATCCTACTTCAAATTCAATTTAGTTTTAATCAATTGATGCAACCCTGAAGGCTTGGTCCTCTGATTTTCTTAATTTATAAGCTTTGGGATCTCTCGGCTGCTTATTGCTAACTGTTTTCTGCTATTATTATCCTATCTAATTAACAATTAGATTTAATGTTTCTTTTAAACGTCAACTACCCTTAATAGATTGAGTCCTGTTTCATATTTGAATCGGTTTCAATACCCTTAAGAAACCTGTTGAACTTGTTTGGCTGAATTAGAATTTGTGTATTTCTTTTACTTAATTATTCAAAATTGGATTTCCTTTTTATTCTGAAAGATAGAGGATTTCAGAAAAAAAAATTTCTGTATACACACAAAGCCTGCCAATTGCTCCCTCTCCCTGTAGAAAACAGAAAAAGGCGAACCAGGCGCTACAGCAAACGTCTCAGTAGGCATCCCGTAGGGAAGAGAAGACTTACAGATGTTCATTAGGGGAGCCTCCATGTCGTAGATCAGTTTCAATAACATTTCATATTAATACATATGTTGAATTCAGAGGCAGAATTGGTTTCAATAACCTTAATACACCTGTTGAATTCGTTTTCTTGAATTAGAACTTGTGTATTTCTTTAAATTAATTTCTCTAATGGAAAAATACATATGACAAGGAAATCCTAAATCTGTTACTGTTTCCCAAGTCATAACCCCGATATCAGTCCTAGCTTCATCATAGTTTAGTCCATAATTATCTGTCTCCAGGTCTGCAAAATTGAAAGAATCCTAGAACCTTTCCGAACAATAACACCCTTCTTCCTGGATTGCTAGCTAGACCGTGGTATCTGTTGACATTAATACTTGCATGGAATACTTACAGCACGTGTGCAAGTCCACCAGTCTGGTTTACAGCAAACCAAAATGCAATTTGCATATCTTGATATGATATGTGATCTTAATACCTGTATATATTATAACAAGAATAAGTGGCATACGCTTTTGATATGCATTTAACTCTTTCAGACCCGCAATAGCATAAAGCCACCAAAGTTCTTGCTTTAGATTTCAAATTTTCATTGGTCTCATAATTTTATAATAATATAATTAATAAAATATCTATATATCCTTTAATATCTAATAAATATTTTTTTTCATTTTTCACACTATTAATTCTCAATTATTTATCTGGTTTCTTGTTAAAAATATTTAAAAATCAAAATAATTAATAAAATGATATATTCTCTTACAATACTATTAATTTTATAAATAAATATTAATTTTGTATAACTTCTCAATTCCGACAATACAATTTTTAATATGTATTTGAAAAAATGAACTAAGGATAATATAAAGTTAATGATCTCCAAGTACTATTTTTTTCTTTATATAAAACTAATTATTTTTTCAATACATAATATCCACCTATAGATTCTTCTTTCCTCGGTTACTTTTTCTTCTTTAACTTCAATAACAAAAGCCTCAGTTTCTTAATTTTAATTAAAAAAGTATCATTTGAATATTTAATTTTAAGTTTTTGAGGTTATTGAGCCACCTTTGAATTCTTTATGAAACTATAATTAGAGTTATTATACAATCCTATTATAATTAGAGTTATTATACAATACTATTACCTAGTTAGACTATAATATCTTATTATCTTTTCTTCTCTTCCCAACTTTTTTTCAACCTAATTTTTTTTCTTTCAAAGTGAGAAGTTTCAATAAGAGGGTATTGTTTGAGGGATGTTTTCATGTTTGGCAAGGATAGCTCCCGCTTGTTGGAGAACAGTGAGTCAATGTGCCTGCATGAACAAGGACAATAATAATAGTAATAATGACGAAGCACTTTGGTGTAGAGACCTTGAAAAACACTCTTATGGTGATTTCTCCTTTGCTGTTGGTCAAGGCAATGAGGTCATTGAAGATCATAGTGAAGTCGAGACCGGAAAAGAAGCCACTTTTGTTGGTGTCTATGATGGACATGGTGGCCCTGATGCTTCTCGCTTTATCTCTGATCATCTTTTTCAAAATCTAATTAGGCTTGCTCGAGCAAATGGAGACACCATATCTGAAGATATTCTCAGAAGTGCTGTTTCCGCAACTGAAGATGGGTTTCTTACTCTTGTACGTAGGACATGTGGAATAAAACCATTAATGGCAGCAATTGGATCTTGTTGTCTGGTTGGAGTTATATGGAAGGGAACACTATACATTGCTAATTTGGGTGATTCTCGAGCTGTAATTGGCCATTTAGTTAGATCAAATAAGATAGGTAGATCAAGTAAGATAGTTGCTGAGCAGTTGACTAAAGATCATAATGTTAGCATAGAGGAGGTCAGACAGGAACTCGGGTCAATTTATCCAGATTATTCTAATATTGTTGTTATGAATTATGGACAATGGCGTGTTAAGGGCGTCATTCAGGTATCCAGATCTATCGGAGATGCATACCTGAAGCGACCAGAGCTTTCTCCTGATCCTTCTTACCCACGATTTCTCCTCTCTGAACCTATTCGTCTACCTGTGCTAACAGCAGAACCATCCATGTGCACCAGGGTTTTGCAACCTAGTGATAAGTTTGTAATCTTCGCATCTGCTGGACTTTGGAAATGTTTGACAAACCAGCAGGCTGTGGAGATTGTGTTTAAGTATCCACGAGCAGGAATTGCAAAGAGGCTTATCAAAACAGCTTTAAACAAGGCAGCTAGGAAAAGCAAGATGAGATATGATGATGTTAAGAAAGTTGAAAAAAGGATCATCAGGCGGTTGTTCCTTGATGATGTTACAGTTGTTGTTATCTTTATAGACCATGAGTCGCCGCCGCTGGGTGCAAAGATATCTGTGCCAGAGCAGTCTGTACGTGGGTTCGTGGACAGCGCCGGACCATCAAACTTTAACATTATGTGAAATGCATGGTCCGTATTAATACCCAGTGAGGTTGTGGTGAAGTTCAGCAAGTTTCCGAAGATGGATCTTGATATATAATTATAGATCTTTTACCATTTATTAAGTATATTTTTTAGTTTGAAAATGTAAATCCATCATTTATATGTTTTTTTAAATTTTATTTTCATAGTTTAAAACAATAGGAGGTTGAATTTAAGTTGCATCAAAAGAATAAATGCTTAATTATATTAAAAAAATCAGTTCAAAATGAAATTGATAGACTCTTCTCAAACCGAATTTTTCTTCTCAAAGTCTCCAATAAATTTGTTGTCATCCAGGGGTAAACAATGGCCCAAAACTTGATAATTTTATTCCAACAACCAGTGTATTTCCTTAGCATGAACACCAAAATCCCTTTCTTTCTTAACAAAAGCTAAAAATCTATAATTTGAAGTCTGGTCCTATATATATATATATATATATATATACATATTTGTTTTGGAATCAAATGAACAAACTTAGTTTAGTCGGTATAACATAAAATTTTTAATAGTACACTTAATGTCGAATGATATACAAATTTGTAAAATTTGATTTTAAAAACAAAATTTTTTAAAAAAAATTGTCCCAAAGGCTTTTCAAATTGTTCTTATTGACTGCACTTTGTGATAAAGGCCACTGCACAATTAGTTTAAATTAATCAAAAAAAATTGAGAACCATTTTTGAATTCAGCAGACCACAAAGCCTTTGTTGTCCCAATTTTGCTTGCAACAAGAGAATGTTGCTAGCATAAGCTAACTAATGCCAACCATATGCATATAGAAGATAAAATTAAAACTGTAATCAACTCAGAAAATTACAATATAATGAATGAATGAATTATTCTTAAAGCTTATTTGATGTCGTAGTTGATGTCGTGATTTGATTGCAATCATTAAATTTTCGTTGCAAATAGAATGATAGATCAAATTTACTATAAAAAGTTCCAAATACTAGAAAAAACAAGTGGAGAACTATCTGATTACAATTGTGATTAATAACATTGGCAATGGCAATACCAAATTGGGCTCTAGACATACTTTCTGGCAAGTAACCCAAGTTTAAGCCATAGGAGACATAGATAATATCAACTGTTGAAGAAATATCAGGATTAACTCAGAAGTTTATAGCCATCTTTGTTGGATCCAGGTGGAGAACAAGTACTCGGTTGTGTTGTAGAAATTGGCTGCAAATTGCTTGTTTCCAAAAGTCCGAAACTTGCATGTTCTAAGACAATAGTAAACAATTTCTTCTCCCCTAATTTTGGGGAAGTAAATTTTGTTTTCCATTCCGGGGGTCTTGGCCACCATGGAAAAGGATGATGGAGTACTCACAAAGAACATGTAATTCCCTAGATCTCTTACTTTGTGCCAGGCCCTGGAACTGTAATCGAACTTAAAAACTCTAACTCTTTCTCCCAAGTTATCAACAAACACTGAATAAAGTTTTCCATCGCATTCCAGTAAGTAGTTCTGATCAAAAGAGTTGCAAGGTTTTTCAGGCTTTTCAAGAACATACCAATCAACCACAACCTGATCAGATAAATAGTCAAATGAAAAAATTCCCAAGTTTCCTTTTTTTCCAAGAAAATAAAAAGCTCCTTCAAAATAAACTGGACTGCTATGATTTGGAAAGAAAGTAGAAGGAACATCACTACGTACAAACTGATACCATCCTTCGTTGCCCGAAAAATTAAAATATAAGATTGAAGATGATGAAATCCCCACGATTAGACAGTATGATGAAATTGGGAAAGAGCTAAAACCAAAGCTGTAACATCGTTTTAAATTAACATTTTGTGGTGGGACGGAAATGAGTTTCTTGGAAAAGGGATGATAAAAGCACAAAGAACTACCCCGATCTCTTGACGACATCAGCAACCATCCTTCTTTAGAATAACGAATATCGAAATCTATTATAGGCTCAGGAATGTTCATTAAATACCTACCACCAGGCTTAGGATCGATGAAGTTATGGAGAGTCTTACTATTACCTTGAGTAAAGAGAGTCTTACTATTACCTTGAGTAAACATCAACCATGGAGATAGAGAATGAGAGTTTAACTTCCGTGAGGTTTCTCTCCACTGAATATGAGGGGCTACTTGTCCAAAAGTCTTGCAGACTAAACGGAAATTGATGTAATCAACTAAGTAGAGAAAATCTGCAATCAATGCTATAATTTCTAATGGAAGGTCAGAGAGATTTTTTACTTCTATTTCACTATTGTCTGGTGAAATCTTCAGGATCTCTTTGCCTTCCCTCTCTTCAGTTTCTATTTCCTCTTCTTCTTCTATCTGGTTGCCTTCTGGTTTTGGACTATCGAACAGAGAACTGTCAATAAAATCATGACTAGTTTGTAATAAACAAGCAAGCATCCGATCATTTGGTTCAATGAATAAGTGCATGCATTCCCTAATTAACAAGCAAGTAATAAACACATAAGAAATCGTAAAGTTATATCATAGCATATTTATGTTGAGGTTTCACCTTAAGTCAGGCATGACCCAAAAGGGTGTAGACCATGACTTGGGAAGATTCACCCAAGGCAGAGAAACTGAGATGCTTTTATCTTCAATGTTAAAGGAGTACAAGCACCTATCTGTGCCCACTGTAAAATATACGAAACCCCCTTCAATCCCTGACTCATTAGCGGGACAGGAAATAGCATAGCGAGCGAAGTTACTAATAAAAAACGCCCGATCTTTTGCACTTCTCACCTGACTCCATTCCATTGTACTAATATCCAACCTGGAAATCTCAATGTTTAAGACCCGACCAGCATTTACCCCTCCCCATGTAACTTCTATTACACAAAGTTCTCCCCAAGATTCTACCAAGTACCTATCCAGGCAATACGAATACCATGAGCGATTTGGAATCATGCAATTTAATGATCTCAACACAATATGCTTAGGCTTAACCTGGTCGATAACCTTTATCTTCCGACTCATGGGAACATACCATTTACCCTTATAATTCACAGGGGAAGAACAAAGTAAGCGATTACGAGCGCTAGGTTCATTACCTATGATCTGCATCTTCGTATCCATCTCCTCAGAAGGTATCTTGGTCCACTTTTTATCTCCGAGTTCGCAGAAGATAAAAGATTTGACCATTTCCTCGAACACTAACACCATACTGCCTGGATTGTCTGGAGGAGATAGCAAAGAGCCGGTAATGATTCTCTGATCAGGCTTCAAATCCAATGGAGGCAGACTGATCAACTCCGAGGATACTGGGTTCCAGAGGAAGATAAATTCACGCCGGATTGTAGGCAGCGTGATGGTTTTATTAGATATAATTAACCAGCCATAAGAGTGACCCAAAACTCCATTGATCCGCAACTTTGGGGTGCTCTTCCCGTAAGTTCTAAAGGGCTGAGACATGCTGCAGAAGGTTTGGCGACTCCCATCTTCACAATGAGGAAAAACAAGCCATGGACCCGATCCTAACGTTTCCAGGAAGCGAGTTGGCTCAATCACTCTACCAACCTCCATGATCATGAAGCTTAGTCTAAAATTGGAATTTCAGTTTTAATCTGAAGTCCTAGTCCAAATTGGATTTAGTTTTAATCAATTGATGCAACCCTGATTGTTTGGTCCTCTAATTTTCTCAATTTATAAGATTGTGATCACTTGGCAGCTTATTGATAAGCGTACAGCTACTTTTTTGCAATTATTATCCTATCCAATAACAATTATCTTAATAGATTGAGTCCTAGTCCCTCGCATATATCGTAGACAAAGGAGATTGAGTACTCAAACACGAGGGCATGATTTCCTAAATCTGTAACATTTTCCCAAGTCATAACCTCGATCATCAATCCTAGCTTCATCATAGTTTAGTCCATTGTCTGTCTTCAGGTCTGCAACATGGAAAGAATCCAAGACCCTCCCCGAACGATAACACCTTCCTGGATTGCTAGGAGGTGATAGTAGATTCCTAGCATAGATATTCTGATTGGAACTTAAATTCAATTGAAGTAGAATGATAAACTGAGAGGATAAAGGGTTCTAGAGAAAGCAAACCCATCAAATGTATCTACTTGCTTTGCTGCAGGTTGCATGAGAGATAAGCAACCAGCTGTAAAAGCAACACCAAAATGATCCTCCTATGGTGGCTGGCCAAGGGCTGCGATTTTGTGGCGGAAAGTTTGGTACCTCTGACCATCACTACGAGGTTGGTCCTGATCCTGGAAGTTTCGGGACCAACCAAAATTCTATCATCTGTCAAAAATAAAAGAACTAAAAATCAAGATATTCAGGCCTATCTGGCGAAGCCCAACCATAGTGGACAGTGGTTCATTGCTTCTGTTTTGGTAGGTCCCATACTTCAGCATTGACTGCAGATTAAATCAATATGAGCTACATTTTTTCCTCTTTTTTCTCTTTAATTCATTGATTGAGATACAAAACAGGTTACAAAGTAATCTTTTCAATTTCCCGTCATATGAATATATATAAGGAAAACTTGATTTTTACTCTATCTTCTTTTAAAGGAAAGAACAATCATTTCTAAGTATAAAAATAAAATTGATAGAGCTATGGATACAACATTTTTTCCTTTTTCCCTTCATGGGAATACAAATCCAAGTTTTCTTGTCAGTCTAGATATGAAGCTGTTGTCATCCTGAGGTAACCAAGGGCCCAAAACCTGATATGGGTCCTCCAATAACCAAATGAAATCAGAAAAATAATGGATATGGGTCCTTTCCTTCACATTATTATAACCAACAACCATTATATTTCATTAGCATAAACATCAAAGTCCCCTTTCTTCTTAACAAAAGCAACAAAAATTCATCAATTCAGGTATGGAATCATATGAATCAACTTATTTCTAGTCAATATTGGAACATAAAAACTTAGTATAAATATTAATGCCGTACGAAATTGAAAAATTCTATGCAATTTGGTAAAATTCTACTTAAACACAAAATTTTGAAGATTTCCCATTTGTTTTTCCTAATGTTTTTTATGGAATTTTGATTTGTTCAAGATTGAATTAAATGAGTTAGTTGCTATTTGAAGCATACTCTCAAGGCTAGTTTTGACCTATCTATCCCATCTTCATTTTGTGATGTCTTTGTCACAATCTTTGGTGGTTGAATGACTAAGAAACGTTTGAAAGGCCACTTGATGATGAGCACAGTGGCTTACAATTAGAGTTTGAATGGACAAATTTCATGACTGAAAATTATCCAAGCTTTTACCTAAGTCCTTTTCAAATTAATTTTTTTTATTTATATCACCTAATTATTATGACTGAATCATTATCATCATCATCACTACATACTAAGTCAGATTTGAACAGAAATTAATTAATTAACAAAAAAAAAATCAAATATCAAACAAATATATAGAGCTGAGTAAAAAAGAACTCTTTTAACACTATACAACAAGCCCCGTTCTTTGTATATACAAACTGATCAAACAAAATGTATAGAAAACTTGTTCTCTACCCCCCATTTCCCTGTCACTTTCCCAAGAAAATTAAAGTACAAAACAAGAAACCACCCCAACCAAAAGAGAAAATAGAGGAGAAGAAAGAAAAGTTTCTAGCTCGTTTTCCCCTTTCACCCTCAATTCACCTCAGGAATGCTTTGCAGTGCAGGCCTCCAGGACCGTTGATTTGTTTCATATTGATTACTAACGTTGATCAACTGTGCTAGAACTTGTTGCACTGACAGCTCCTTAACATCAACCCTACCTAGCAACTCCTCCAGCTGCTTCTTTGTTATCTTCACTTTAACTTCTTGAGTGGTAGCTGAAGATGTGAAACCATTTTTCTGATGATTTCGGAGAAGACCCTTTTCTTCCATGTTCATCATGGCCTTATATTCACACGTGTCGTTTGTCGTTTCACTAGCGAAAAACCCGCCTTCGTCGTCCTCCGCCGGGGATGTTCCCCAGTCGTCGCCGGCCCATTGTGTTGATGATTGATGCCGCAAACAGTTTCCCATTTTCCCTTTCTTCCCTTCGGTTTAATGGGTTTTGCGATACGAAAAGAGAGAGCAAGGACTTGAAATATTAAAAGGTAAAGGGTTATATATAGGAGAGGAAAGGGGAGGTGGTGGGGGGAAAAGCAGGTGATAGAGTCAAACCTAAAACGCTGCCATGTAGGATGACATGTCGTCCAACGTGGCTGATGATAAATGGTTGACCTCCTCACCAAGACACCAACTATATCGGATTGTGTTAGCTTTCAACTCAAGTGCATGTGACTGACAACTTCATAGGTTAATAATGTCGGTGAAGTTGGCTCGGCTTCCTTAGTTCTGGTCTTTGTGGCTTCCCATCTAATTATAGTTAAGCCTACTGGGAAATTTCCATTATTATGAAGTAAAACCTATAGGTATTTCTTGATTGAGCTCTATTTCACTTCATAGATCTACCTAATGAGGAGCTTAGGATCAATCTCGAACAATTAGTATAAGAATCGAAAATTGGAGTTACAAAACTGAACTCTATACTAATTTGAAACTCACAAAAAATGTTAATCAATTAAAATAATAAAACAATAATTATAAAAATTAAAATTCGTTTTTTAAATTCGATCTCATAAGATAAAAGTTAGATTAAAAGCAAGTGAGAAATTGATCTCTAATAAAAAAACAAAGCACATAAATAGCCAAAGCCCACGATTCAGTATCATCGATTTTAATTAGTTTTTATTATATTTTGATTGAACAAAAAGGAAAATAACAAAAAAAAATTGCATTTAAGTTGGGGGCTAATAACTCAAAGGGTTTCAAGCCTTAGCCTTCAAAGCCTTCAAAGCCTTCAAAGCCAAGCCATGTTCAAGCCTTAAAGTCCAAGCCAGCAGCTTGGATCAAACCAGGGTTTCCCTTCAAGTGTGAACGAGGTTAAATGGTGGAATCTAGCAAGTGTGAACACAAATTAGGGAAAGGAATCAAACAAAGCAAAAGGTGCCCCCCATTGTTTGCTCATTCACGTGCGTTGCTGCCGCTGCCGCAATGCATAGTCTTGATTTTGTAGTTTTATGTTGAATTTTAATTAAAATTACCCTTATCATTCCCTAATTATGCCCCCAAAAAAAAAATCTTATCCATTTAAACACAAAACCCAACCTCTCATGTCGGACGTAGAGAACTAGGAAACCCCCACCCATCCTTTAGTAAAAGGAAAGCTGCTATGAGATAAAGGAACCCACTTTTTTCAATATTTAATAAGGTTTTTCATGCATAAAAAGATGTAAAATTAATATTTAATTCATACTTTTTTGACATACTAAAAGCAAATCTTAATTCTATTTCACTTTCTAAATTTTATTTTACCGTGTTTTTAAATTTTTTTTATTAATTAAAATTCGTACATTCTACGTGTGTTTCGAATTGCAACGAGATATATCAAATATAAAAGAATAATTAAAGACAAATGCATACCCATTTTAAGATAATAGACAAGTGAAATGAATTTCGACACAAAATGAAAATCCAAAAGAATTAAGACAAAATAGGGTAATTGATTGTACTAATATAAATAGATTTAAAATCTCGACATGATGAATAAAACATATAAAATCAAACAAAAAGGAATATATTAAAAATATTTTAAAATTAACCAATTCAATCCTTTTGTTAAAAAGTTAATTGTGTTTAAATGCAATTAATTAATGTTAAAAGACTTTATTTTGAAAATTTCTAAATATTCGATCCCTTTGAATTATTGTTCATATAAAATTAATTGTATATTTATTTGTGAAAAAGTTAAAGAAACTAAATTAGGGTAAAACAACTTCCTAGATGCAATTCATTCATATCAAACTATATGATCTCCCATTACCAAAGAAAAAAAAAGGCAAAAAATCTAAATTAAACCATGAATTAGAAAGAAAATTAATTTGTGATGGGTACACCTATGGAGAAAACTTAGCACCAATCTAATATAATTTGCTGAAAAAAGGGTAGGGGGTTCATTTTGTAGGAGGTTGGCGAGTCTAAGTTGGCTCCTAACCCCACAATTCCCATATTTTATGCTACAATCCAAAACAATCACTAACCCAAAATAAGACTGAAAATCTTATATAAAGCTTTCACAGTCCTAACATACACACCGTCGTCATCATGCACCTACTTCATCATGGGCTAGCTAGCTACCTCTCCTCTAACAAGTGGCAGCACTGAATTTGCATGGTTGTTGATGGAATTTTGTGATGACTTTCATGTGCTGAATGCTAATGGTGATCTGCAATGCACGAGGACCTCACATTTTGGTTTGTGGCAAAAATGGGAGTCAGCTTTGCCTTATAGTGCTGTTAAAAGGCAACAATGGCAGGCAATTGCTGCCTAATGCCCCCATTTCTTTTCTCTCCTCAAGGGGGGACATTATAATTGCTAGGGTGAGAGATCTTAGCAAAAGTCTACATGTGGTGAGAGAAAACTATCTTGTTGGTGAGATTTTTAAAGAGCAAGAATATTTGTTAGTATAGTTTTTTAATTTCAATTTTGACTCTGAGATGATGAAATCAAAGAAAATTAATTTTTATTTTAAGAAAGAAATAGATCTAAAAATCTCATTGCTGATAGTATTTTTAATTTTGATTTTGACTTTAAAATGATGAGATGAGTCTCTTTTATTTTAAAATAAAATCGTCGGTGATTTAAAAAGGAAGAAAATAGAGTCAAAAGTTTCATTGTTAGTATAGTTCTTAATCTTGATTTTGAGTTTAAGATGTTGGATTGAGAGAAAATTATCTCTTTTATTTTAGAATGAAATTGTTCTTAATTTGAAATTTTTATATTTCATATCTATAGTTTCAATTACGATTTTGTTACAAAAATATGTGACAGTTAACATATCAAATAAGTTGCAACGATAAAAGACGTCAATACATAGATAATCAATATGTGAAATTGGAAATTGATCATTTATTATTCCTTTAAAAATAAGTTAAAAGATTCACCATGAACCTGAAATTGGGTATTAAACCATATACTTCTGTCACCACCGCCTTCTACCAGCTCACCAATATCGTTATCTAATCATTTAAATCTACAACAGTGACATATATTTCTATATAGGCAGAATGGTAGCCAGGAAATAGAATTCCTATGTGCTTTTCATGGAATTTCATTTGCCCCCTTCTCCATCAGAACACCATTTTCTTTCTTTCGAGGGTAGGTGTGGTAGATCTACACGTACTTTCCTGGAAAATTTCCAGCAATCACCCGTCAGGTTTTGATGATTCAACAATGATAGGTATTCTATATTCTCCAAATATCAATCCGAATTGGAAAATTTCCAAGCCCTCAGCCTCCAAAATGACAGAGTCATAAGCTATAAGCAGGAACCAAAAATAGATTCCTTGTTATAATTAGTCCACGGTGCCGTGCAAAAAGTACAAAAGCAACCAATTCTTTTGCCTTTTTTTACATTATTTTATTCTCTTGTTAGTCCAATTTGTTCACTTAGCAAGTAACCAACCAAACTTTCTTCTTTTTGGCTTGATAATTTGACCATGAATTTACGGTCTTGATGAGCTTAGGCACGTTTTTTAAAATAGGGTTTTTTTTCAAAGCAAGTTGTGATATACATATATAGACTACTATTTATGATTCTTTTCTCATGCATTGACTTGTTTATATGTAGCTGACTTGATCAAGTAAGAGTTTAGTTTAACATGCATGCACATATCCTAGGATATTGATAGAGGTAGGCGAATTTTTTTTTTTCAAGTGCCTAATTAGATTGAGATGGGTTTGAAATTTATCCAAGTTTGATTTCTATACGTTTTATGATAAATGTATATAATTTCTTTAAATTCAATGACGGTTTGAATTACTTGATAATTCTTATATCGAGGATATCGAGATTAATCGCCTTTTGACATATTGGAATCAACATAAACTCTATATTCAATAGTGAGATCAACATATAAAAAAAAATCACATAAAAGAAAATATTTACCTTAGTTCGGCAAAAAAATTCACTATAAATATAAAGATTACAAAAAGTACATGACACTTAAACACAAACACTAAACCTGAACCCCAAAACAAAACCCAATTTCATGTTCCTTAGTGTTTAAATTTGTGAAATACTATGTTTCCCCACTCTTTCTCACATCCTCATTGTAAAACATTCAAAAAAAACCTATCTTTCCCATAATTCTAATGGTCACCAAGAATTTCTACCCACCAAGAACTCTTACCTATAATATATTTTTCTTGTAAACATACCCTAATCACCAAATAATTTTCAACCAATAGAATTTTACTTATATTGAGATTTAAGACTAATCATTCCTGACATATGCTAATGGTTAATTAACAATTGAATCTTGTTCATACATATGATATAAGCAAGTTATAAGAAAGAAAAAACATTTGAATCTTCTACCTTGTTCCTCTTAATTGGGAGCCAAGTTTGAAGCATTATATCATTGTTATTAGAATTTTCAATATTCAATTCAATTTCCAATTTGACTTGATCTTTACTATTCAGTCAGCAAACAGTTGCTCACAATTTTGCTCTTGAATAATCAGTTTTTCCCTGCTCATGCATGTTGCTATCATAGGTGTGGAACCACTATTACTCCAATTAGACAGTCAATTGTTAAATATAAGTGAAAAGACTTTATAATAGAAAAGGAATCAATTCGTTTAATCTGAGTCAATTGCTTTGTTATGACATAATCTTCACTTTTTCCATCCTCCAGGTTCGTTAGGCCAATCAAGAGTGGAAAAAATTGAGCATCCATCACATAGCCTCTCACCTACTCACACTTTGGCAAGAACAAAAGGGAGAAATTAAGTAATTTTTGGGTCAACCACTTAGAGATTACAGCTCCAAAGAATCTGCAATATCAGTTTGTTTTCGAACTTTATTAATATTAGTTTTTTGTTTGATTACAAATGAATTGACTAATAAACTCGTTAAAAAATGGTTTTCAATGTCGACGGAATTTATTATATATTTATTGTTTATCATTTATTTGTTTTTAATATTATTTTTCATAAAACAATAGACAAACTCTAAACATTTAACTGGTGCAAGGAAAATAATGGGCAATGCGATATAGACCACATGACTTACAAATGGTTGAAAATTGGAATAGAGAGTGATAAATGCTGATAGCAAAAGCTAGCTATAGAACACTTGACATTGCCAATTTAATCTCTTCAAGACTTCATATCAAAGTTTCAACTATTTCATACTTAACAAGACAAAACATCCTAATCATTAGAGTGATGGAAGTATGAGTTCAGTCTTATGAGAATAAGCAAATTTTTTTCTTTTTTTTTATTTAATTTTTTTCATGCTTGATAAAGACAGATTTTGATACCCTTTTTTGCTTGATTTTTCTTGGATTCATTGGGCTTTGCAAATTGAATGTGGGCACAATATATAATCTCCTACCAGGCTAGCTTCTCCCCAACCCAAGGCCTATTGACAAGCTAGCTCATCTACAAAACAACCTTTTAGCCAGGGCCCAAGTATGGGTTCATAATTGGCTTGGACATCACCAGTAGCCTAGGCAAGAACTGAAAATCATATACCAAATCTTATGCAAATATAATTATTTTTTATAGTCTGAATATCTTATCTTATCTAAAGGAAAAAGAAACATTGCTAGACTAGTTAGTTGAATGGCTGTTGCATGCTTTTTATGCAATGAGATATCATTAAAAAAAACTTTGAATTCATGTATTTTTCTCTGATTTTGATGCAATGTCTTTCTAGTTTGGCGTCTTCTTGGCTCCCTAAATGCTCATAGCTGACACAATTATAATCATTAGCCTTTGCCTATAGCTAGGGTGGTTAGGCAAACTTATGACTTAAAAAATAATAGTACCCTGTTGATGACCAATTGCTTCAAATTCTCTCTCTTATAACGCAAGCCCTTTTACCCTTTCACCAACCCCATTGAATGATGCCGATTTTACAGATATCAGACGGTTAATTAACCTAACTCACCATGGAAGTCATATGCCCAGAATCCAGAAGCTGATCAGAGATCACAAGCATCTTATTTTGTTGCAATTAAGATCTGAATTCTATTAACTCAAAGCTCAGGCACACAAACTCTCAAGCTTAAGTACTTTTTCTGCAGATAGAGCCACTTGTTAATCTGAGCTCTTAATAAAATCAAGTTAATAATAACCTTACACAGGCTCTAAATGCTGGCGGGAATCAAAGGCAGAGTCAAGATGGTGACAATCACCTTTTAATTTTTAATTATTATTATTATTATTATTATTATTATATGTATAAAATTTAATATATATTTCATTTTATAAGATTATCCTTAAATCATTTTTTATGTAAAATTTTGAATTTATCATTGGACCAGAATGAACACCAATTCATCTTTCTATCTTATTGAAACTGTCCAAAAAGTAGGGTCTACAATCTACATTTTCTCATTCATTGTCTCCACTAAAGGAACACCAGAAGAAGAATCATGAGAGTTTTGGAACTTTCTGGCTAACTCTTTGTGATCTCCTTAATATGTGTTCTTGGGAGCTTGATTTTGGGTTATTCAGGATTCATTTAATTGCTGATCAAATTGCATAATATATAGTTCATATATAGCCAAAATTGTTCATGATGGGTTGGGAGCTTATACTTTGTATTGGTCATGGGTGAGCAGTCCACCTACTGATCATTGGAATATTGCAAACATGCAAGCAACTATTCATGGGACCCCTTTCATTCTTGGCATTTATTTGAACAAAATGCTTTTCACATTTTGATATTTCTAAGCTCAAACTTTTATGATTTTGTATCTTATCTTATTAGGTAAGAGAAGTCATTTGAAATATTTGCCATATATAGTTTCTTTTAGTACAAACTTCAAGCTCTTTAATCCCATGAAATGAAAGGAATTTAAACCAACATGACACCAACCAAACATTGAAAGCTTTAGAAATGTTTCATTTATTAAAGGATGGCCCGAAAATCCGAATATACAACTTGAACTTATTTATTCGATTTATAAATTTATTTTATACGATCGGTTTAATTTGACAAATTAAATTATAAATCATTCAGAAAATGATAATGTATGTATAGTTAGAAATTAAAATTTGATACCATATTCAACATGACTTTTGAAACTTTGGCATTAGTGACTTCAACCCTCAACATCACATGAAACTTGGGTAGTTTAAAAAGGGAAAAAGGAGATTAAAAGTTTAGTTTAGGTTTTTAGACTTTATTAAGATTAAGTCAATGGGCCCACAATTTACTTTAAAACACACTTGGACCCACAATAGTGTACAACAAATTATCCACAAAATCCCATGGAAACCCACTCATTAGTACAAGGACTAAGAGACCCATATTTCCATGTTTGTCAATTGGGTGGCTATAGTTTTGATTGTACCAAGTAAATATAAGACAAGGTTTTTTCCTTAAGTAAGAGTGCTTTGCCACAGAAAGAAAATGTGACAAATATTATTGGTTTATGGTTTAGTTTCATAGGTTCACTTTCACTTTGGATCTTACCTGATTATTCAAACAATGACTCATATTTTGCAATAAAAAGTTAAAACGTATGTTGATATCTCGAATTCTCTGTATGTCTCATTTTGAGATATTAAAAATTAAAAAAAAATGAATATTTACAAGTGAAAAGAGTATTATTATGTATGGAGATATAATACTTAAAATAATCTCCAAATTATATAAAAAAAATTATGTTAGATCAAATAAGTTTTTACTATTAATAATTAATTAATTATTTTTAATTAAAATATTATTTATTATTTTATACCACATTATATGTTGACATATCATAATTACGGAAGAAGTTAAGGTGCAGGTGGGTGGTGGCGACTGTCACTCCTCAATTTTTAACTTTATTATTATTATATTATACAATTTGAGATGTATATAATATGATTATTTTTGTAATTACTTTTTAATAATTATATATGTAAAATCTTGAATTCATTATTAATTATAGTAAATGGTAATGTGACATAACAACTTGATTTTTTTTATTATTTATATTAACATCATGAAACATAAAACGAAAAAAATAATGTTTTGACTAAAAACAAATAATAAACCATTAACCATATAAATTCATTTGATTTAAAATAAAAATATATTATTCAACTTAATTGATTTAAAGGGTTAATAAATTAAGATTAAGATTAGATCTATATTTAAGTGAAAAAAAAGGTTCATAATATTTATTAGCATTTTTTTTTGGCTCGAACATCAAGCCAGCCCATGTGGGTGCATTTCGTCGGCTTGTTAAGGAAATACAAATTAACATTAACAAAAACAAAGGTTGATTCATTATTCGGAATGGGTCGATTCCACGTGTAATTTAACCCTAAAGCCACGTGGTATTTCCCTCGGATGCCTTGGGTGACAGGACTAAAATAATGCAAAAGAGAGAGAGTTGGATCTGTAAGAAAATTGGTGAAAGCTTGTGGACATGGATTTATCATTTTATTTTTTTGTTTTTTAATTAATTATTTATTTATTTTGTACATCAATCATCAATGTTCTTTTAAATAAGTGTTGTAACACTGTTAAGGACATAGGAAGTTGTTACATCAATCTCTATCCATTGGACCCAAAAATATTAATTTCATTTTTTAATGAGAAAATACCAAAAAAAATAAAAAATAAATTTAAAATATTAAAAAGAATATTAAATGGCTAAAAAAGATAAAAAGATTTTAAATATTTATTATTCGATGAAATTTATGTAAATTTTTTTATTGAAATTCATTGTGTTACGTTGCGGTTGCTTCCTTCCAAAATGATAATCTCAAGGCTTTTTCCTTATTCTGTTTTCATTGCTTTTTTTTTTATTTATTAGACTTGAAATTTTATAATAATTTTTTTATTCGAATTTGCACCATTCTTATTATGATGTGTATTAAAATGTACGACGTAACATTCGATTTTAATTTTTTAATATTATTTTATCACTGGACCATTATTTATTTCTTTTTAACTTTTTAATTAAACTAAACATTTATTGTTGCTTTAAGATGGAATTAGAGAACTTTTATTATAAAATCTTCTCCAAAAGCCACCCAAAAACGAGGTCGTTTGATTCCCAATTTAAAAATTATAAATCCACAACGTCTCTCTGCAAACCACCATTAATCAAGTAATCAAACCCGCTCGTGCAAGGAAGCGTCCTTGTCGCTGTTAAACGGCGTCGTATCTTATCCCAATGTTGTCGGAATACGTTGACTGGATAAACATACGGTAATACATGACCGTATTTGTATACACATCTGGGGCTGGGTACGTCCTTTTCTCCATTTCAGACAGAAGCAAATAAGATAGCATAAAAACAAACACACTCTCTCTCTCGCTCCCTCTCAATTCTCTCTCAGCTTCAGCTTTTCTTTTTCTCTTTCTATTTTTTTTTGGGTATTTTTTTTCCCTCACTATTGTTACAGCTCACTTTCACACACTTCACAGAGTTATTTACAAACATTTGTTTCTTTCCTTTTTTGGTTCTGTATTTCGGGTTGTTTTCCTTTTGCTTTATGAAGTAGCAGGAATTTTGGGTTTGTTTTCTTCTTTCTTTTGGTGGGAATGTTGATGGAAGAGGTTTGAGTTCGAGAGAGATGAAGGTGACCGGGAAAGCGAGTTTACCGCCGTCATTTTCGGGGAGGAATCCGACGGACGCGGATCTCAAGCCGACCACGACGACGACGACGAAGCGAAGGACGCGGAGCACGAGGTGGAAGCGGGTCCGAGCGCCGGCGGTGGGGAGACGGAGCAGGCCGGAGACGCCGTTGTTGAAATGGAAGATGGAGGAGAGGGAGAAAGGGGGGGAGAAAAGCGGGGGTGGAGTTGAGGAGGAGGAGAAGGAGGAGGATGGTGGTGGTGGACGGAGAGGTGGTGGTCGGGGACGACGGAGGAAAGGAGCTTCGACGGTTTCGGCTAGGAAGCTTGCAGCAGGATTGTGGCGACTGCAGCTGCCGGAGACCGTAACAACTGGTGCCGGAGAGAGGAGGAGGGATCGGTTAGGGTTCAAGGTGAGATTTTTTAACGTTTTTCATGGCCCCAAGATCTGTGCTTTTATGTTTTTTCTTCTTGTGTTCGCAGGCTTTTCGTTGTAATGAGAATGATGTTATCAAAAGTGTGATTTGGAAGGGATTAGTTTGGATATTTCTCTTGCTAAAACTGTTGCGTTCTTGCTTAAATTTGAAGCTTTAAGCTTTGATAGTGAATATAATGCTTATCTTCGTAGTGTCATCATTGTTCATTGTCTATATGATCATAAGTTTCTTCTTTTATTTTTGATTTCATGATGTTCTTAATGCCTTAGATTCTGCCCTGCATGTCCAAAAACCAAAGCTTTCACTACTTGCTAAATATAATTGATTGATATGATTTCGTACCCGAAAGTCTCTTTTTTGATGCAATTATCATGGTTGAAGTTTGTCATCATTGTGATGCTACGTTATGGTTTTATTTTTTCTAATTATGCCAGGCTTGGTTTTACTGGATTTGTAGGGCTATGGTATCTATCGGTATTTACGATTTGCTTGATTTGCAATGAATACATTTGACAATTTGTTTAAATCACTTCGAAAAGCCATGCTGCTTACTCTTGTCTTAATTGATAGTTTTGCTCTGTTGCATCTTGATTGATCAGTTGTAGTTAAGTTTATTATGAAATTTGATTTGTGATTTCGGACATTTAGAGTTCTTTACATTGTAACTTTTCCTGCAGCCTGGTAGTGATTTTATGGGTGTCCCCTTTCTTTATCATCACAAAGACAAAATTTATGGTTTGGATGCAAAGGATCCGTTGCAGATCCCTGGTTCTGTCTCTGGCACTAAGAATGGGCTCCTGCGTAAGGTATGCTGCTTTCATTAAGCTCTTTAACTGAGTCTCTTGAACTTTTCATGACCTGATCAATATGGAAAACGTTGAATTGGAATGGCATAGGAAACCGAAAACCTTTGTCATCTCACTCATGCAGCGCATGTGCCATGCTGCATGTGGGACCCTCATTTGATTGTTTCTTTAAGTGGGATTTGTTACTTTCCATTTTGATGATGTTATAAAAGAAAAAAAAAACCATTTGTTTTTAATCTTTTTGGCATTTTGAATGTTACCAAAACTGAAGGCTTAGTCCCATATAAATGCAGAAGTTAATCTAGTATTTACTGATATGAAAATTTGATCATGTGCTGGACAGATATATTATTAGTCTATAGAACTTTTAACATAATTATGGCTTATCAGAAAATTCTCGATAAATCTGGATAAACTAAAAGGGGAAAGAATAGAAATGCAGATTAGTTGCTTTTATTAGTACCACTACATGAGTCAACATGGTTTTAGACCACTTGTACTTTGCTTTAAATGCACAAAAAAACCAGGGGAGGGATGCACACTCCGTATATTGATTTCTTTATTTCCCTACCTTTTAATTGATTTCTTTACTCTTCTGATCTTAAGCTGTTTTTCTCCATTTTAAGATTGAGCCTTCAACTCAATTTTCAAACTCTGCGATGGAGGGAGCAACAAAGTGGTATCCTGTCTGCTTAAAAACAACAGATGAGGTACGGCAAATTTACAGCCACATGAAGCGTATTGACCAACAAGTAAGTGCAGTATCAATTGTTTCTGCCCTTGAAGCTGAGCTAGGGCAGGCTCGAGCCCGTATTGAGGAGCTTGAGACTGAGCGCCGGTCCTCAAAAAAGAAACTTGAGCACTTCTTGAGGAAAGTTAGCGAGGAAAGGGCTTCATGGCGGAGCAGAGAGCATGAGAAAATACGTGCATTTGTTGATGATGTCAAAGCTGACTTGAATCGAGAAAAGAAAAATCGTCAGAGACTTGAAATTGTCAATTCCAAATTGGTGAATGAGCTGGCTGCTGCGAAGTTATCAGCAAAGCAATATATGCAGGATTATGAAAAGGAAAGAAAGGCCAGAGAACTAATTGAAGAAGTATGCGATGAGCTTGCTAAGGAAATTGGAGAAGACAAGGCTGAAGTGGAAGCATTAAAGAGAGATTCCATGAAGCTTCGCGAGGAAGTTGATGAGGAAAGAAAGATGTTGCAGATGGCTGAGGTCTGGCGAGAAGAGCGTGTTCAGATGAAGCTGATTGATGCAAAGGTAGCACTTGAAGATAGGTATTCACAGATGAACAGGCTTGTAGCTGATTTGGAGACTTTTCTAAGGTCAAGAACTGGAACTCTGGATGTGAAGGACATGAGAGAAGCAGAATCCCTAAGACAGACAGCTGCATCAGTTAATGTCCAAGACATCAAGGAATTTACATATGAGCCCTCAAACCCTGATGACATTTTTGCTGTTTTTGAAGATGTAGCTTTAGCTGAAGCCAATGAAAGGGAAATCGAACCATGTGTTGCATATAGTCCTGCGAGCCACGCCTCAAAAGTTCATATGGTGAGTCCTGAAATGAACATGATAAAAAAAGACAGCATGCTGAGACATTCAAATTCGTATTTGGATCAGAATGATGAGATAGAAGAAGATGAGAGTGGGTGGGAAACTGTCAGCCATCTTGAGGATCAGGGCTCAAGTTACTCACCGGAAGGGAGTGCTGCATCTGAGAACAAGAATCATCGGGACAGCAATTTCTCGGGGAGTGGAACAGAATGGGAAGAAAATGCGTGTGGAGAAACTCCAGTCACAGAAATTAGCGAAGTATGTTCGTTGCCTGCTAGACAGTTGAAGAAGGTTTCATCCATAGCAAGACTTTGGAGGTCATGCCCAAATAATGGTGACAATTACAAGATAATTTCAGTGGAACGAACAAATGGCAGGCTTTCAAATGGAAGGATTTCTAATGGGGTTATCATATCCCCAGATCGAGGGTCAGGTAAAGGTGGGCTCAGTCCCCCAGATTTGGTGGGACAGTGGAGTTCACCTGACTCTGGTCATCCACATATAACAAGAGGGATGAAAGGGTGCATTGAATGGCCTCGTGGCGCACAGAAGAATAGTCTGAAGGCAAAACTTTTGGAGGCAAGAATGGAAAGTCAGAAGGTCCAATTGCGGCATGTTCTAAAACAGAAGATTTAGAAGTAGATGGTGAATTCCCACAGCCCAGCGTATCGTCACAGTAGCCGGATGTGCCAAACAGAAGTAGTAATGTATTTGTCAGACAGTAGGCAACTTCTGCTGCTAGTTCAAAATTGGTTAAAAGCTGAAGGGACGTGAATATGAACGCCTGATTCATCTCATGGACTTACTGATTCCTGCGAAATCTGGTACTTGCTTCTTAGCTCATGCTATGCTGAGAGTTTTGTTTCATCCCTTCTGCTGCTATATTGGGAATAATGCCCTTGATGAAACAGTTGGATCATCTCCTTTCTGTCTGTAGTTATAATCCTGCCTGGGGCCATAGTCATTTGCCTTTGTAATCGAGAAAGAAATGTATGCCACTTGTACTGTATCCCTAGGATCCGAGGATATCAAGGAAAGCAAATTCACGTTGGACTGAAATGACAATATTTTCCACTGTAATTTTTGTATTTTTGTTATAAGAGATGCCCCTCTGAATTTCTTATGGATAGAATAAAGGAGCACAATGCCTGTCCGACTGGCTTACCATCCCTGGCCAACCTGAACAGCAAATGATTCTTTGGTTTTTTTCCAATATCTATTTGATATTTAAGAGGTAGCAATAATTGACTTGAGTCACTTGGCCGTAACCATTGAACTTTGGTTTGTAATTTCAATCAGATAAAAGTGAAATTATCCCTTGCATACACTGCTGGATTCGTGTGGTTGGTAGGCTGCATTTGTCATGTCAATTGTTTCAAAAATTGAGCAGGGTATCTCAATCTCGAGCAAATAAGAGATTTTGAAAATTTTATAAGCGTTAGTGTTGCATATCTTATTAACTTTCTTAAGAAAGGGTAATGACGATGTGAGACATTCACTTATTGGATTAATTCAAAAGTTAATAGGGTATGAAACATTTCTTCCTCTGATAAAATCTTAACACTTAACAGCCAGAGATGAACTTGAAGTGACAAGAAAAATTATAATCATCTTAGAGAAGCACGTGAAGAAACAACAAGATCTTCTGCATCAGTGCAGGCACAGATCTACTTGAGTAGAATATGCTAAGAGAAAGAAATGAAAAACCTATCAAGATGACAAAATCATGGATAAAAGGATACGGAGAAGCAAGGTAGCAAGAAAACTATCAGGAATTACGAATTGATGTTGTTCTTCATCAGTTCTTACTCAGAGTCAAGGGTCTTATCTTGAAATTTGGAAGCAAAAACAAGCTTAACAGTTTCATCCTCCCACAGCAATCCATCCCACCAGCTCTTGTCTCCTTTGATTGCCTTCAAACTGTTCTTTGCACTTTTTGAATTGAATGGCAGCTCTCTCAGATTCGGGCAATTTATTGCATGGATCTCCATAAGTACAGCAAAAGGCCAAGCTAGCCAGCAGATCCACTCTAAACTTGGTAGTTCGGACAAATAAAGCTTTGTGAGATTTGAGAACAAGTCTGGGTATTCTTCAGTTGCTCCGTTGCTGAAATCTCCACAAATTACATCAGTTAACAACTTGCATCTGCTTACTAATAGAGTTTGAAGGAGCAGAGCATGGACGAGCCATGTCAAGTTCACCATGGAACACAACAGAATGTCCACAAGAGAAAGGTTGCGGAAGCATTCATGTCCTGTCATTGGCTTTGAGTTGTATTGAAATGGAGGTATATCTTCCATTCCCTCATCGTGTTCTGGATAAATGATCAACTCCTCCAAAGAATAACATCCCTTTAGTTCAAGTCTCTCTAAATGCTCCATGCTTCTAACAAGTGGAGATGGGATTTCAAGTGAGATCACACTCTTGCATCCTATTGATAATCTTCTGATGCACTTTGGAAACTCCAGGGACTCCAGTAATTTCAGGAAAGATTGAAAGAAAGACAATGTGATACTTAGTTCATTCAGGTTTTCTAGACTCCCCAACTCCTCTGCCAACATGAATTCATCCAAGCCATGAAGGGATTGATAACCTTGGTAAAAGAACATACTGAAATTTGTCAATGAGGAAAAGCTTGAGATAGCCCTTTTTGGGATCTTTGTAAGGAAATATGTGTCATCTAGGCCAAAATCTTTAGGTTCTTCAAATTCTTAATCCCAATTGGCAACTCTCCTATTGAAGTTAATGACAGATTAAGATAATGCAAATTGATCAATTCACCAATTCCTTCAGGTAACATCCTGAGTTCCTGATTCTCAGACAGGTTCAAAACTCTCAAGGCAAGCATAAGATGAAAGAATCCAGTCGGGAACATCCTCAGGAGAGTTCTCCAGACCAGCAAAGTTTGGAGATTCGGGCAAAAGGGTGTTTCACTAAGAGATGTAAAACTAGTACCCCACAGCGATGCCCTCACAGCCTCTTTCCATCTTGTCGAGCCATGAGCTTTAACTGACGTAACATGGTCTTGTACCAGGATGTTGTTGTCTTTCTTGCCGTTCTCACAAGCTAACCATAATGCTATGTCACGAATCACATCATGCTTCATAACATGTTTTGTTGAAAACCTATACCTTACCCCATCCTCCAGCAGACATGCTAACTTTAGGCTTCCAACAATGAATTCTCCCTCATTCCTCGCATCATATATATTATCAAATTTATCCAAAAACCCTTCCCCAATCCATAGTTCAATAAGTTCATTTTTCTCAATATCATGGTCTTCTGGAAATATACAACCACATAGGAAATATTTCTTGACAGTATCATCACTCAAACTATCATAACTGAACTTGAGAATGGGAAAGACATGATCTCCCATACCTGAAAACTCTGATGGATAACTCTGCAATAAGTTTATAGAATGCTTCCTCTCCTGAGGAGTTTTCCTACTTGCCATGGCTCTGGTGATAGTAATCAGAGCAAGCGGCAAACCTTTGCATTCCTGGGCAGCTAATTCGGCAAGCTTTGGTATTTCTGGATGAGAATTCAGAGCATCTTCACCTACCTTTGTTCGGAACAAGTCCAGAGCAACATCTGGTGGCAAGCATTCTACCTTTAGCCTCCTATGAGCTTCCATACGGCCACACACTTCCTCAGATTGAGTTGTAAATATTATTTTCGATCCATTAGCATTATCAGGAATGGGAACTCCCAGTTTCATGATGTCTAATCACTCCCATAGATCATCTAACAAAAGTACAAACATCTTCCTTCTCAAGACCCTGAATATTTCTGCAGCCTTGCCATCCACATTTTGATTTTCCCACACTCTATCAGGGATATTTAATTCATTCCGAATCCGTTCTTGAACTCTTTCAACCTCTGCATCTTTAGACACTAGAATCCACATCACCGGATTGAAAGAATGGCTTGTATCAAGGAAATTATCGTTAACCTTCTTTAAGAGGGTGGTCTTGCCTACACCTTCCATTCCATATATGCCAATAATTCCAACAGATGGATCTTCAATCCATCTCCAAACCTGGTCCAGCTTGGCATCTAACCCCAAGCTGATCCCTTCAGGCCTCTCATCCACCAAGTCACGAGGCTTATCCCATACCAGCACATCGAATTTAGAATCAGTGATCAGTTCAGCTAAACTTTTCAGAGTTTCACTCACTTTCTTCCCAGCCTGATTGCTTGAGCAACAATCATTGAGACAGAAGCCTCCAAGACATTTCTTTTGCACTTCTTCTTTGCCCTCTTGAATAATCTCCTCCACACTGGCTCCTAATCCTTGTACTCTTTCAAGCCAGTCAGTTACTTCATGCGTACGCTGGAACCATTCATTCTCTTCGCAGTCAAGCCTTGCTTCCACATCTTCTTTCTTTGTTCTCAGTCATTCCATTTCAAATTCTAAGGACTCAAGATTGTTCCCCAGGTCACGTATGTAATCTGCACGATTCGAAATGGAATGCCACATGATTCTGGCAAGGTCCCAGATTGGCACAACAAATGCTGCTAGCAATGCTGCCATGACTAATGGATGATATTCAACTCCAAAAAGAAAAGTAAAGAAAGATGAAGAGTTGCTGTGAAATTCTAAGGACAGTGGACTGTTTATGCCATCTCAGTTGCAGCTTTCCCGGGTTGTTTGCTTCCTTCAGTTCTTAAAAATTTTAGTCAATGATGATACTTTAAAAACTCAGGGTGAATAGTCAAAGGTTCTAAATTATTCTTTTAATATTACAGGGGCAATGATTCATGAGTTATTCTGCATACTTTTATATCAGGTACAGCTATATCAGAAGTTCAGATATCCTTTAACAATATATTGTCCGATGATGTAAATCAAGAATACCCTAGATTATATTTAAAGCTTAAGTACCAAGATGGACTTTGAACGATATATACCATTATCTTTTGATATATGAACCATAAACTATAAGAAATGATCCTCAAGGTCTACCTAATCCTATAATATATAACAAATTTTGGCATATTAGCCAGATGTAAACATATATTATCCAGGACCCTTGAGTTGATCAGCTATCAAGAAACGATTGAAAAATGATCAATCAAAGTTCATATGATCTTCCTTTTCTATTGTCAATGATTGTTTTGTTGAGATAAACCTTATTTACTTTATGCGTTAAGATTTACAAGTTACTTGCATACATGAGCAACTAGAGTCATCAACTCTTCTGTACTAAGCTCTAAGAACAATGTGAAAGTATAAAGAATCAGATGATTTCTGGATTTTTCTAATGGAACTTGATGGTATGATTGTACAGCCAAGATTAAGGGTTAAATGATACAAGAACATGTGCATACATGATCTTTGCAAACTATACTTTTGCTTGATGCAAGTCCTCTGAACCTTGCTGCACATCTTCTGCATTGCTAGAATTTTCTTGGGGTTTGGGTGCATCTTTCTGCAGATGCTCAAGGAAATCCATCACCACATTATCAGTCCAAGGAGCTCCGAAGGGAGCCTCATCACCGGCAACCCAACCCAAATGACCACCCTGGGGTGTTACTATCAACATGCAGTTTGGATTTCCCTAAAACATCAGAAAGTAGACTTCATTGATTACAGAGTTAATGGAGAGGGGAAAGTATGAAAAATATTATGAACAGCGATCGAATACAACATGGAAAGCAACATAGAAATGGGATAAACTGAATAAGTTGGCAACAGAACTATCAAAGACTTTCTGATCAGACATATATTTTCGATTTTCAAATCAATCAGCTTTAGGGTACATTGGAACAGCTCAGTGACACAATATTACATACCTTGATATCTTCACGAGGAGTTCCCTCAATTGGAGCAATCGGATCATTTGCAGCCTGCAAACCATCATAAATGAATCAAGTTTGTAAAGCAATTACAGATGCTGGAATCAATCTTTGACATAATTCTAAAATTTTTACAACCAAATCAGTAAAAGGTGTCATGTAGTTACCTGGATGCAAAGCAAAGGAATCCGAACATGTTGTATGACATGACAACTGCATGAATTTGAGTAATAGTCATCCACTGACTTGAAACCCAATGCCACTGTGTATTAGAGGAAGTCACTCTGGTTAGTTGACAAGCATGCCATCAAACAAAGCCTCAACGAATGCCTGCACGATAGGGAGAACTTAAAGGAAAGCAAAAGTACTTTGATGTATGAAACACATACCGCGTGTTATAGCTTCATCATATTCCCTGACAGTCTGGGGATTCAAACCCACTTGGACATTATATTTATCTTCTATATCTTCAAAGAGAGGAGCGTGTCTGCAGTTATAGAACAATTCTGGTTATATTGTCCTCAAAAGGATATCTTGAAGTTTTAATGTCATTCACAGTAGGAAAAAAGGGAATTCGCTGTATAATTACTTTGTGAAAATTCTACAAAGAGCTTCCCTAAGTGCTCTGTCATAGATATTGTTAAAGCCCTTACGGAGGTTTTCGTCTGCAATTACTAAATCGAAAGGGTTACACAGTGATACAGCACCAGTAAGAGCGCAGTTATTCGCCTTCTGCAAGCAAAACGTAAGAAACTTATAAATGAGCCAGAAGCCATAGACAAGCTATAAAATCTTGTTCTGTTTGATTGGCCAGTACCATATGATCAACAGACAAGAATTTGCTGAATAAAGTGACAAATTCTAAGGATAAGGGTCAGCTAAATATATGTTTTCTTGGACTGTCCCAAATCAGATTCCTTGTCACATACTTGACTGTTACAGAATCTTTGGCTCAACTTAAACTATAACAGATAACAGATAACAGAATTGCAGTGAAAGCATGTGCATTCTATGTTCTGCTTATATTTGTAATTTGTAATAGATTTAAATATACAACAGAAGAGATAGAATTTATCAAGAGAACAAAGACAGCTAAACACAATATATATTGGTGGCAGGAGAGCAAAAGGTGAAAAATAACTTAGATATCTTACCCTTCCCAAATAATTAACAAGGATATTCCCTCCTAGAGACCAACCAGCAGCATAAATATTTGCTTTGGGGTACCTGGAGGAAACATGATCTACTACATGGCACGTATCACCTGGAAATGATGCTGATTGAAGCTGCATATCAAGTTCATGCAAAAACAAAGTATGTCAGAATACTTGTATTGGCATCTCAATTCATAAGCTCAACAATTTTAGCCAATTCACATGTGAAAGTCACAGGACAAAACACTATGATGTCCATAACATGGTTCTCTTGGACAGCCATAGTTCTTTGATCTTGAAAAAGAATATATCAGTTCCATGATTGACTTCATGCAGCCATGCCAATCCCCAATTACTCTTACATTGGTTTAATGCCATCAAACCCCAGAACAAATATTCCTATTACTGAGAACATTTTTTCAAAAAAAAAAAACATTTCGGGAAAGGAGGGATTTGAATCCGGCTTTTCGAAAAAAAAGATCAGACACCAATCATTGAAGAAAATATTAACATATGTCGATTTAATACTTGCAGCTGCTACTAAATGGGGAAACCTTTCTATCTGTGACATGCAGATCAGTGCAAACCACACACCTGATCCTGAATCAAAATCAACTCCAAAGTCCAAACAAATGTCTCAATTTTCAACCTCAAAATTGATATAAAAATCCAAAATTTTCTTGAAATTAGAAAAATATAGCAGTAGCGCAGTACCTGAGGAGTTGTAACAGGGCTATCACCACAACCCCGGCTATTGAAGACCACAACCCTCCAACCTTTGCTCCTAGCTTTCACCAACATATGCTTTACATATGAATCTTGACTTCCTCCTGTTAACCCTGGCTGCAAATTCAGAACCAATCAACTTTTTTCACCAAACAAACAAAAGGGTATCAAACTAAACCTTTTTAAATTTGATTCCTTCCCCTCCTTTCATCAAATTAAGCAAAAGGGTATGTGAAAAAAAAAATAGCACATATTCATAATTATAAGTACTCTGGAGAGAAGAGATATATACAAACCAGTAAAATGAGAATGGGAGCGTCAGCAGGCAAGCTGCGGTGGTCGTCGCTGGCCCAATCCAAGGCTATGGTGCCAGCATCTTTAGTCCGGAGGCACTCACGGCGGTACCTGACGTGGGGGACTTTACGGAAAAAGGCTGCGAAGATGGTCTCAATATGGCGGTTCCAACCAACGATCGGAAAAGGCTTGTAAGGAAGGTGAAGGCTCTTGAAAGCTGGGAGAAAACGATCAACCGCTCCTCCACTGATTTCCAGTGTAGGGTGGTGGTCTGGCATTGCTGTGGTTGTCACGGCGGTGGCACTGACGCGGACTGTGGTGATCGGTGAACGTTGGTGGCGGAGTGGGGTGATTGTTGGTGGTGGTAACGGTGCTTTGGAGGTCAGAGACAAGGGAGCTCTTGCCATTTTAGGGGGGCAGTGTAGATTTTTTTAGTCTTTGAACGTTAGTTTCTAGTTTTCTGGCAAGAAGTGAAAAACCTGTGGCTGTTAAGACATGACACAGATTTTGTCTTAGATTCCATTTACATCTACTTTTGTTTCCCATTGGAGCTTTCTTATACTTGAGTGGTGAGAAACGATGGAAATCACTGATGACATGATTCAGCAAGGGACCATTTTTGCCACGTTTTCCTGGCATGGGGGAGTTGAGACTTGGGACACGAAAATGACTTAAACGAGGGGACCTAAGCCTAAGTGCAGAGAGACGCAAGGCTAGGAAAGAGAACCAGTCCATGGTCCATTGTCTACGTGCCGACTCTTTCCTCCAAGGAAATGGACCAATCAAGACTTTTATTTTCATGAATTCCTCGTGAAAAATTAAAAACACAAACCCTTCTGTTATTTTTGGACTTTCGTTTGACAATGAAACAAAAAAAGCTTGAAGCCTTAGGCTTCTTAACCTCATGTATTTTTGATAGGGTTCTAAGTGGAAAAGAACTCTACATCTTTGAAAGAGGGACTTCCATTAACGTAGGTTGAGATTAGTCTAATTAACATTGGCAGGTACTAAAACTGATTTTTAGACAAGTAATTAACACTCAACCTTCAATATCATACGAAGATTGTAAAGACCACTCTTAAATTTCCATGTTTTAGCAAAAGAAACAAAATTAAGACAGTGACATAGTCATAAAAACTCTATGTTTTAGAAAATGGTTTATGTAACAATTCAAGTTTAAGTATCACTTGCTCAACAATTTTCAAACCTCACCCTCAAAAGTTTAAAGTTCAAATTGTTAATAGTGATTAATTGAAAATTTTTATATAGAGATTGACAATCATATTCACATTCAATGTAAGATGAAGTATCACAGTTTGTGGTAGAATTTCAAGGTAAAATCCACTGGATATTGTTTGGGTTTGGAAGGTTTGAGTGCAACGAAGAACTTAACTGTATATCTTCATAGACAAAAAAACAAAAAAGAGAAATTGATAGAATTTTCATTGATCTAAAACTTGGCCCATATCCTCATTATTGAGTATTGAAATATTCATTAATTTATAGGCCAAAGCCCAACTTCACATCCCATTTTGTCCCCTGACCTATCAAGAAATCCAATCCAACTTTTCCAGAAATAGAACGTATAGCCTGGGGTCTTTTGGACCCATCCATGAAAATATTAATCTAAACATTTTATAACGACACCAAGCATATTTCATATTTCATGTCCATGGTGAGGAGTTCTCTTTTCTTTTATCAACACAAAAGATAACCTAATTATGAATTATTACTGGATGAAAACATCTCTATATTGGGATGGTAATAAGTACCTTATAACAAAATACATGTAGACATCTAACCCAATTATATAAAATTAATATATTTTATATTTGAGTTTGAGATGAATTCAGATAGTAAATAATAATTTTATTATTTATATTGAATTCGGGTAAGATTGGATTTATTTAATATATTTGAATAATAAAGTTATAAAATTATTAATTATATTTAAATAATATTATATTACAAAGAATATAATTACTATGACATTTATAGTTAAATTTTACTTGTAAGAAAAAAAATTAAGTCATGATTAACAATTAGTAACCATCATTAATCTGATTAGGTTAGTTCAATATTTTGTGTCAAACGGATTTAACTCATTATATAAATACACCCCTAGGGTTCATAGTATTGAACAATTCCTTCGTAACACCGTTCTTGCGACCCCTCCAATGGCAGCTAAGAAACGGCAAAATGGTCGCCCATGGCCGCCAGCACCCAGTCCGTATCCTTGGCTTGTTTACTCGCATGGCAGAAACTGAGTCCCAAACCTTTTGCACCATAACAGAACCCAACGAGAGTCACCTCAGCAGAATACCAGGGTTGGAAGGTAAAGTGTTTAGGACTTCATGTCTTGGCTGGTGTCTTTTTTCTAGCACTTGTGGCTGCCGGTTCTTTCTTTGGAACCCCACGACACTGCAGAAAATAAAGCTACCATTACTGAGGTTCGAAGGAAGCATTCACCACTGCACTTTCTCCTCCTCTCCAAGTGACCCCAATTGCATGATCTTACTCTCGGCGAACGATGTTCCTCTGATCATAGTCCTTCAGCTTCGAGACGAACAATGGACTGAGATAAATTATGAGGAGGAGGTGGAGAAGTGTTTAAAAGAGAGTGGAGAGCTGGTTCAGCAGGGTGATCAGACATAAAACCCACTTCACATTATTGGCTGCAGTGGTCATTTATATGCCCAAACATCCTCATCAGTAAGGTTATTATTAGTCGAGAAGCTTAAACCTGAAGGTATAGTCATGACATTGTTACATTGTCGGGTTCCCATGGACCTTACTGGTATGATACGCTTTGAACGGTTCTTGCTTGAATTTCCAGGCAAAATCTACTGTATATTGTTGGGATTTGGAGAATATGGAGTTATGAGGCAAGGGAAAGCAGTTGTTGCTATTAAGGTTCACAGGATAAATCCATCCGAGCAGATTTGGGAAAAAGTTAAACATGTTCCGGATCTTATATCTTCTTTCTAAACTATCCAAATTATGCCTTTTGTTGTCACACAATCAAGTCAGAAATCTATGAGGATGGCATATATTTTCCTTCAGATAAACTTTTGTACTCATATAATATTAGAGATACAACACTATCGCATTCTCATCCTTTGCCAAATATACAATCATCATATTCATTATTCTGGATTATACCTGATCGAAGGTAAATATTAAACTTGATATATATATATATATATAAAAATTATTTGAAGTCAGTTGCTAATGGTCCTTGATATATCTTTAGGGATAATACTTGTGCATTGTTGTAGGCCTTTGCTTTTGTAATTGGAGATACTTTCCAATGATATATCTGTCTAGTTTTTTCATTAATTCTACTTATAGAATCAATGTCATTTTCAGATCAAGTACTGAAGCCGAGGAGCAAGCCAAGATCAGATGCATTATGGCACAAGAGGAATATACAAGATTGCAAGTCGAAGAGGGAGAAAGCAGTGTGGTAGTGGAGAAAGGTGGCAATGTAGAAAGAAAATATTTTGATTTTCCATTAGATAATGCTCCTAAGATTGCTGGGGGTCTCACTTTAGTTGATTACTTCCACTTGCGCGCTACTTGTACAATGTTTCGATCAGTATCCCCTCCTGTTGATTGGAAGAAGAAGGCCTTGGAAGGGTTGGAGCCCCCTCCATTATCCCCATGGCTTCTTTTCTTTGAGAAAGATGGTTGACCCAAGACATGGGGACAAGTATCTAATAAACTTACCTCCATATCAAACTCTGTAAGGGTAAGTAAAATCAATTCAGACCAATTACTCACTCAAACCAAATGTAATTTGAGTAAAACAATTTGTTCTAATTAGTCCATTAAATCAATTGATTCAAAATATTTGGTCCAATTGATTTTTTGGTCGGTTTTTAATTTATACATAAAAATTACTATAACTTATAATAGACTTTATTTATATGATTACACTTAATAACTTTATTAGTTATCATTTTAGATTTTATAACATATTATTTATAATTAATTATTATTTATACAAGTTTTGGTATAAAACAGTTGAACCTATAATTTGTATCATTAATTATATATATAATAAAGTAATATATTACAAATACATATATTTAATTTATACATAAGCATTATTACAACTTATAATAAACTTTATGTATATGATTACACTTAATAAGTTTATTAGCTATCACCTTAGATGTTATAATATATTGTTTATAATGAGTTATTATTTATACAAACTTTGATATAAAACATTATAACGTATAAGTTATATCATTAATTATATATATATATAATTATTGATGAAGTTTATAAATTTTAATATTATAATTTACCAAAAAATAGTGATAAAATTTTAATCCATTGATTCAAAATCAGATCAATCAAACTAATTCTATGTTTAGTCGATTTAATTTTTGTTATATATTTAGTTGATTTTGATTGATTTTTTAAAAATAATTGATTCATTTAATCTTTAAGTATGATGATTGCTCACCTCTAAAACTCTGAGATTTGCTATTCCAAGAACGAGTGGCTGCTAAAGTCTGAGACTATGGATTCTACATTCCTGTTTAATCCGTTCACTGGAAAAATTGTCCCGTTTCCAAGTCATTTTCAGTATCGGTCAACTGCTTACATGGGCTTTTCTTGCAATCCAACTTCTTCAGATTGTTTCGTTGTTGCCATTGAAAAGTACCATCCAAAGATTCGACTATGCTTCAATCGTCTAGGGACCCAAGAATGGTCGTATGCTGAATTCCTTGATGAGACCGTCTTTTGTGAAAAAAGCCCAGTGTTCTATCAGGAAGCATTCTATTGTTTGGGACATGGTGTAAATCTTGAAGTTTTACAGTTTACATTTGGTGGGATCACTTGGGAAGTTCTTCCCAATCCTACAAGACCTTGCTCCTACCACCAAAACTTTCTGGTGGAATGTGATGGGGAGCTTTTGCCCGTGTTTGTTGGTGCATTTGGAGAAGGGGTTTACGTTTTCAAGCTGAATCTCTCTTCAATGGAATGGATCGAGGTCAAAAGTTTGGGAAATTTTATGATTTATATCAGTGGTTCTTCTTCTCTTGCTGCAATGGCAACAACCCCTGGTATGGAGAACAAAATCTACTTCCCCATATTCTGAGGCCAAAGTGGTCACAGCATTGTGTTCTATTCTCTCGAAACAAACAAATTTCATTCATGCAAATTTCATTCATGCGAGAGTGGGGATGCAGAAGTAGATTTCTATGGTACTAGAGAACAATTGTGAGCCGGCTGGATTGAACCTAATCGGTGCTGAACCTTAAAGTTTTCATTGCTATATTGTTGAAGGTTTTTTTTTTCTTTTTTTATAATAGGATTTGAATCTTGCTCTTTAAGCATAGGGATAATGCACCAATCAATGAGCCAAATGCTCGGGTGCTGCTATATTTTTGAAGTTTAGTCATTAGGCATGGAGATAAGAAAACTAGATATTCCATGAATGTAAGGATCTAAGTTCAAGTGTTCTTATTCTTTGTTTTATCTTATCTTTGGTGTTCTATTGTGTGTGCGTGTATAGGACATTCCATAAGAAAACAGTAAACATTTTCATTTGGCATGAACCGTTCCCCAGCTAAATTGGCCAACCTTATTGGTTTTTCAAGAATCCAATGAGATAACTATCAACCAAATGATAAAAGTTCAATGACTTAGGTAAAAAAGAGCTCACTAAGTCAAATGTATCTCCCATTTTTCTTGCCCAAACCTTTTTCTGTCATCTATATTCTTGAAAGTTCACATGGCCTGTTGCTTGTGCATGCTCCATAGCCTCCTAAACATTCAAATCGAATTTACTTATGTAAGCAGCATGATATTTAAGAAATGGTCAAGCTGGATAAAAGCATAGAGAAAATCTGAAGCTAGCATGAGCTATAGAAATGAAAACAGACCTTCTGGCCGACCACTCCAATTTGGCATACGCCACAACGCAAAGTGAAGTTGGCGGTGTCAGTGTAGCTCCTCTTCCTATAAAGTAAGCAGATGAAATTACTCGAAGTCAGTCGAGATCAAATGTTCATTGCTGAGCCAGGAAATATTGGAGCAAACTATTATTGCAAAAGAAAGAAAGAATAAAACTGAAGAGGCTAAGCGCCTGCAGAATTCTTGGTCATCTGACTAAAGTTTTACATCCTCGGTAGAGATCAATTAAAAACATCAAAGCTCTAATATAAGCACTGTCTGTATAAACCGATATAATATAAAATCTTAAAATGATACCTTTGTTGATCCTTGACCAGATTAAGTGCAAGGCCTTCAACTGGCCCAATAGTTCTATTCCTCTGTACAGCAAAGATAGTTTGATCAAACTCCTCCGGAGCACCCTCAAATGGGGACATCTATTGATACAGCCACCAAAAACCAAAAGAACATAAGAATAGATGGGAGAACGGTAGCAAGAATTAATAAAGGATGAAAACATCAGGGAAGGAAAATAAATACACCATGCATCTACATTGCCAATTAATAGTAATTATTTCTCACAGATTCATTTAAAGTTGGCTTTATAACAATTTACTGTGTAAGCTCACAAAAATGGAAAATGACATGAATATAATAATGTTATTTCAATTATTCTTGATTGGAAATAACAAATGCAAGAGTAACACGTTTATCGTTTTAAAACTCCTAGCATGCAGTTGCTAATGCATTATTAGAGATAATATAATTTTAAGGGCAACAATAAGAACAGGCGCAACAACAATGAATTGGTCAGGAAGTAACATACAGCCAAAGCATCATAGTGGAGACCATCATAGATCAGCATGACTCTTTCAGAGTAGTTCTTATCCTGTCATGAAAAGCCATAACAAAAGGGGAAAGTAAGCATCAATAATGACAAGATGATAGCGATAAATGCACACAGTTCTAACCTGACCGTACAAATCACATCTGGCAGTCTGGATATCATATGCTGCAATTTCCCTGCCATAGTAATCTGCTAATATTGAAAGCTCAATGGCACCTTCAAAACAGAACATAAAATAATGAGGTCAGCAGGATCATTAATTAATTAACCAGAAGAATGTCCTAGCAATATATTCTGATAGAATGGATAACTAGAGGAATGACCATTACAGTGATCCATTATAGTCCTGTGGCACAGAAGAGAAAAAAGTTCAACAAACCTCCCCACTTGTCCGAGTCGAGAATCCATGAACAATACTCTGCATTCGGCTTCGCAAGAAATGCCTCAGAATATTTTGTAGGATCACTTGCCACTGTCGCAGCTATAACCTTCAAAAAGTCATCAATCACACCCGGTTAATTGAATAAAATAGCATTTGGAAAAAGAAAGGATCAATGGCCTTATATCAACAATTTATTTTTGCACATAGATTTCCTTGAAATTAAAATAAGTTGATCTTTTCAATCTACTTTGGAAATACAGATGCTTGCAACTTTTTGATAATAACGTTGAACAGTTAAGTATATCATATTTCCAAAAGATGCATCAGAGATTAAAGTAATAATACAGTGTGCTAAATATAGCTAAGCATGAACTTCTTAATCAGTAATAGCAAGCAATTACTAGAAGCTTTACTAATAGTTAAAAAATCCAAGTAAGCTGAATGATATAGTAATACAAATGAACACAATCAGCAAATAGCCAATGATTTGCATTCTGTTTCAAATTTCACAGAGAGAGAAAGAGAGAGTAAAGGATAAGCTCTTTACTGTGACAACATGGCGACAATAAAGGGGATCGATAAAATGTTGGACAACTTTCTCTTTGACCCTGATTCAATTCCAAATTTTCTCCTGACCAAGGGTTGTAGTACGATTTGAGTTACTGACTTAAATAGTGAATGACTTGTTCCAGAAAACTTTAAAGGCTTAAGTTATACTATAATGGTATAGATACCTAGTTCAGAAATCGTTACTAGTCCACCATACTGGAAAACCGTTAATCTTACATTCATTGATTATGTTACTATAAAGATCACAAACAATAGAAATGGACCAAGAAGACTGACATTTTTCTGACAAGTATATACTTTTGAGAACCTATTTATAAGACTTCCTATTTTGTCCTGATTAAAGATCTTCCTCGCTTGATCCCAATGCGTTCTGCTACATGTCAAAATGTAAATGCTAGACCAGACTAGTTGCCATAACGGTGCATTTGACATTTCAATTTTGATCTGCGATGACCATGCAACAATCCAATAACGAGATTTCAAGAATGACACAAACCAAGTGTATTGACAATATCCATGAGATAATATAGATAAGAACCTGTCTCAGCTCTGGGGCTTTTTCTTGGTCATGGTCCATGACGTACCTATAAACGAAGAAACAAAGAAAAATGATATAAAAATAAACAATTATCACTCCAATCAAACTAATCGCCATTAAAATGGAAAGATCATAATCTTGTAGTTTATCAGCTTACCCAACTGCATTAAAAAGGCAACTGTTGTCCGAGGGGATGACCCTTCTAACGATAATACCTTCCATGATCGATAACGTATGCACCTGAAAAAACAAACACAAAATTATCTTGTACCATTCATATGAATACATAATTCCACTCCTAACAAAATATCATAGATTCCAGAAAACCGTTAAACAGACTAGAGCAGATGAAACAGAGAACAGAAGATTGGTCAAGAATTAAAGCACCAGTTGATAACTAATAATTTAAACTAATATAATTCCATTGAATTATCGTAAGCAAATTAGCCAAAATCTATGATAACAACATACATATAAAGCATCAACATATGAAAATAAAGATTATAACATGTAGAGGAAAGAAAGAAACCGCACGAACACAGCAAAAGAATCAAGATTTTGAACCATAAAACATGTAAGAATTCAACCAAAGACAAGAGATACTACCAACAAAATCTAAAACCTCCCCAAGAACAAGAAAGGAACCAAATTCAGAACTATATAACCCAGGAAGCGATTCAAAAAATACCCAAGAACAGAATTTCACAAACAAATGTCCCCAGATCTAGAATTAGCACCAAAATAAATTCAGAATGAAGAAATTTATAAGATAACAAAAGCACCACACAAAAACTTAATATATACGTGTATAAAATTTAAAGAAAAATGAGATATTTAAACAAAGAGAAATCTTACAGTTCTTAGTTGGTGAGGAAAAAGAAAGGATTTTTCTGTTCTTTTAATTTGGTGTTATGGGTAAAGTGAGAAGCTTTTTGATGTTCTCACTTAACGCGGGCACCAAATGTTATAACTTACTGTATTAGATGCTCTTCTCTTCTGTCTTGTCTACCTTGGTCCCACCTTTTTTTGTGGGAAAAATCTAATCTTTGGCTTAAATTTGAAAAAAAATTTTATTCTGACATAATGCTGAATTAGGTAAGCTAGTTAAGTAAGGAAGGTATTAAATTGGATTATCTTTATATTAAATAGGAGCAGTTGCACTTAACAAAACATATTAATGAATATGACTTTTGATTTTCACTTTTTCATGTGATATCTTATGATTTTTCTCTTGTAAAAAATTAAACTGTTAAGCACACGATGTTGTATACTAACGGTTAGTTTTAATTTCACATGAAAATTGAATAAAGGAGTGATATCAACTAGGTGATAGATACCTGATGCTGCTGAGTTTATGAATTCACTTTTGCCCAATATCAAGAAATTTCAGTTCTTTCAGCGGGCCTAGTTACCCCATTGACAATCTTACCATGAAGGCTTGAACTCTTGTTTTGCTAATCTCTGTCCCAACTATACCCAGTCTTAGCCCACCCTTGCTCTTAGCCCACCTGGGCTACCGGCTCAGGGGGCACCCCATTCAGCAAGAGAAACTTGCATTTGTTTGACATGGATAAACTGGCTGGATATGGGAGGTATCCTATTTACTGCTGATTGGAAGGTATGGTGTTAAGCAGTAAGTGCGGATCATCAACAGGCATTGCAATGAAGGGAAACCAGGGTGGGTGTTGGTGTTGAGTAGAGGCTACCATACGCAGCACTCGATCTCCTAAATCCAAGAACTGCGATTGACTGCTCTGGCTCAACACGGACCACACACAAATTCATGACAGTTCATAACATCAGCTTCAAACATTATTAAGCCCAAAATCACTTTCAAGTTTACTTGCTGTAGCCGTTATACAAGAATTGTTTGTTTCTGCCAAATGGGATCATTAACTGCAATTATATAACTGCATCAGTACCCGTACTTTCATACAGCTACAGCTGAACTAGCCCTTTTTCGCCTTTCAAGTCTTAGAGTTCACTAAGGCAATTAGTATTGACAGCCAAATTCAAAATCAGAAATCATTAAACTCTAAAAGCTCATATTCCTCCCTTAATAACTTCAACTCTTTCAGCACAAACTCCCTTTCATCATGCCTTGAGTGCAGCAATGCATTCGATTTCAATCTTGGCATCCAATGGCAATGCTGCTACCTGATATGTTGAACGAGCTGGAGCAGGTGAAGGAAAGTCTGCAACACAAACCATTTAGGGGACTGAATTAAAATGCTAGTTTCTACATATGGTAGTCAAGTTAGCTATGAAGGAGAAAAATTCAGAAGAAAAGTATGATGCATATTCTTTTAGTCCACAATTTTGACAATTCACGAGTTTATAGGAGGGCCTCATCAATCTGACAACTCCATTCCACACTCAATTTTTGGATTCTATTTCAATAAAATGTTCAGATTAACACATGACAGCAGTAAAAGTTATTAGGGACAACTAGAATTTTCAGACAGACACACTGAATAGCATCTGTTATTTATCTTGCCTGCAAAACAAGCTCGTTGAGTGTAATGCCAAATGTATCTGATGTTAATTCACAGGTTAAGTCTACTCCACGATATTAACTCGAATACCAAGTTATACGATAGATTTGCATGCCCTCTAAACTTCCTTATTACAATTTATGTTCATGTTTTCTTTCATCAATTTTCTCAATGCAGTGCAAATAACATGAGCTTTAAGACAAACTGGTGAAACCATATACATCCCAAAAGCAATTGCTGGATATAAAACAGATTTTAACTTAATGCTGTTACACTCACATTTAGCATAGATCTCATTTACTTTCTTGAAGTCTTTCAAGTCAGCCAGCCTGCATGAAGGAAACAATGCGAAAAATAAAGATCTAATCCATTTCAGACTATCAAGCCCCCATCAAAGCAACAAGGAAAATGGCAGACAAAAGTGAAAAAGAACAGTACATAATTGTTGTCTTAACCACAGAGGAATAGTCAGCACCACTGGCTTTCAGAATTTCTCCCATATTTTTTAGTACCTGTAGATTTGCATAGAATTGTCAATTACCAACATGTGTTCAGCTCCAAAGTTGGAGAGTTAAAATAGCACATTTACAGAATCATTAGTTCACATTTTAGTAGGCTACCTGCTCCGTTTGATCCTGTACACTATCTGAGATGAACTTGCCAGTCTGGAATAGAAAACCAATAGACATGTTCAGTACCTTGTGTATTATAACATAAAATCCGACAACCTTAAACTGTCAAGCATCTTCAATGAACATGTCACAAACCTCTGGAATAAGACCAAGAACACCAGAGACAAAGAGAAGATTATTGGCCTTAATTGCCTGAGAATATGGTCCCAGTGCTGCTGGAGCTTTGTCAGTTGCCACAGCCTCCTTTATCCCTGAAATCAAGACATAGTCATAAACCTTAGGCATTGAATCAAACCAAGACCTGAATAAGAAAAGAAGAAACGTGATAATGAAACAAAGATTGGTCCAAAGTCCTAATCTATGATCAATTCACAAACATCATTATCTTACAATTCCATATACTTAGCCCCTAAGTCTCATAATGCAGTTAATAGATTCGACATTTACTCGTACACTGCCAAACTATGACAGCATTGTTGCTCCTAAACCATTTAAATAAACTCCATGTGGCATTTTACAACAGGAAACAACAAAATTCTGGGTACGAAAGATTTTACTTCCAAGCACAACAAAGTTCCTAAAATAGCAGAAAATCAAATATAAATCCCTGAAATTCTGTTTCAAAAATGCCTGCCAATCAAAATATCAATTAACTTCATAACTTCAAGCACAAAAACTCCATATCCTTCCTCTTTCCCTTCCACATACACTTGATTGAATTTGAAAGTAACATTTCAAGGATTCAATTGAAACCAACAGTCAAGTCCAAACAAATTCACACATGAACAACCATTTTCAACAACAACCCATAAAAAAAACAGTAAAAAGAACCATTTATTTTACTGATAGTCATTTTTGCTTTTTACCAGGTGAAGTGGAGAGGCTTAAGCAAGCAAAAGGAAAGCCTTTTCTGGAGGAAGATCGCCAAAGGGAAGATCCAGCTACAACTCCCCCAGCTGCGGCTAATGGAGAGCGCGTGCGTAGGACGCCCAAATCGACGTTCGGAGCATGGATTGACCTTAAACTACACCAAGCCATCTCACACTTTGTCCCTCTGTCTCTGACTATTTCTTTGTCACCGTTTCTTTGTCTTTGGTCTTATGGTTTTGTGTACTATAGGTGCAGTAAACCGAACTGAGGTAAGTTCCCTGGGAATATTCCTGTTTTCTCTGTCAATGTTTACTAGATTGCCCTTCGGTTCGTCAAGCCTAGCCTGTTCATATTTGTTGGCCCATGCATGGTGAAACTTTGGGCTTGGATGGGCATGGTAAAAATCTTCTCCCAAATCTTACAGGATTACCAGTATTGAATTCTATGGTCCTCCTATAATTTTATATTACGTGTTTAATTTGATATTTTTAATTAAAAATTAAATCGAACTTTATGAATAGAGGGGAAGATTGATGACAATTGTGTTAAAAGTTTTATCTTTGGGTCTAGATACAGGGGAAGGACAAAAAGCATTCAAGGCATTAATGGCCTTCTAACTTTATGAGTTGACATTGAATTGCCATATGAACTTCTAATCCTTATGGAAATTTGAAAGGATTGAGGTCTTAGTTAATTCTTAAATTGAAAAAGAATGGAAGATAATGGCTAAGACTTCTCCTAAATCTATATATTTTAGCATGATTTTCCCTTTCTGTTTTGAAATGAAAGAAGTTTTACAAGTAAACCAATGCTTGATGAAGCCATTTCCATCTTCTCCCTGGCAAACAGAAGTTGGCTAGGAAACCTTGCAATGGTCTATATACAACAGACTTTTTTCTTTGGGCATCATATTCCATCATTCATCTTCTTACAAATTGTACATTGCCACAATTCAAAACCCAATCACCATTTTTTTTCTATTTTGGTGAATCAAAATTTGATGATTTACAGTTCCTCAGCATCATTGCAAACTTGTTCTCTACACATAGGACAAGTTCCTTGCCTGCTTAGCCATTCATCTATGCAGTTTAAGTGGAAGATGTGGCCACATCTGGGAAGATTTCTTGCCAATTCTCCATCCTTTAGCTCCTAAAAATATAGAAAACATCTCATTTCAATGTTACCAAATTAAAAGAAACAAAGGGTTTTTCTCTTCGTTTCTGTCCTTCTTGAAACCTTGATCATAAGACATTATTCTTACCTGTAAGCAGATTGAACAGGAAGATTCCTCCCTTGATTTGATCATCCCACTAGGGTGAAATTCATGCACTGGAAGCTTTTGAATGCAACTTCTGGACAAACCCTTTGCTCCATTTACATCATATATATCTGAGATTTCTCTATATGTCGATTCGAGTGAGTTCATCTGAAACATTTCCTTCAGGTTTCCCATTAGATGAAAAGAGAAACAAAAAACACAAATGCTTAAGAAACTATAATTTTGTTTGCCTACAAAGAGAACTTTACTTACTTGCCATTGATAAGCTTTTAGCACTGCTGGACTTACCCATTCGATGAAGACCTTCCCATTTACTAAGCTAACTAACAAAGCTACCTGCAAAAGGAAGAGGGAAAATTAACATTTTTTTACCTTTGATGTACATTACACCAAAGGGGTAGTTTAAAAAAACCACTTTTTCCGCTTGAATGTCACCTAGTGAGGATGAAATTAATGAAACACCAAAATGTAGCAATCTGGCAATTAAATGATCAGATTGTGTTAGCAAATGCTACCATACCTTGGACAATGACTCCCCGTTAGCCAATGATTCCAGCAATTGAACAGCTGTGATGGCACCTGCAACAGCACCAATTCCAGCTCCCCGGAAAAACCCAGTCTCTGTCGTCTGGCCTTTCATTGCTCCCACAACGGTTCCCACTATAGCACCGCCTGCAAAAACCAAAAAAATCTGAGTTCAAACAGATGATAGCTTCATACAAGCTTTCCCTCATTAGACACAGTTAACCAGGGTCGGCCTAAGGTGAAAAATTACAGTTACTTTGTTTCGAGAAAGCCTTAATGTGTTTTCATGTACACAAGTCGGTATATAGAATATTCTGCAAAGGCCAAGAGAAAAAGTACAAAGTCTGCACAGATTTTTTGATGTAACTGAGTATTCCACGAGGTAACTAACATGCTGTAAAAAGTACTAATTTACTATCTGGCCAGATTGGTTGGTGAGAAACTAAAAGAATGCTACAGGATTTCTAGTTAAAACAGAGATTTCAATAATGAACTGGTTTGATTTTGATGTTGGGAAAGTGGGTAGGTATGCTTCTGAGCAAGACAAAATGTAAAAACTGAAGTCCTGGTGAGATTATTGATGAACCAAGTAGCCGAATAAGCTCAGTGAAAGAAACATGCATTGTAAAAGATTTGGATCAACATCCTTGAAGGAAGCAGCAATCTGTAGCATTGAATATGCATATTACTTTCTGATCATAGAAGCCATACCTAAAGCAAAAATGCAGGTGACAGCAGCAAAGACAATTCTCTTCAAAACTCCAATCAAGAACCCAATTCCAAGATCTCTCATTGCAGCAAAAAACCACAAAGACACAGCCCCTCCCCACCTAAATACCACCTCAGTGATGCCTGGAAACCACTCCTTTAACATTGGAAAAGAGCTCTAAAAAGGGGTGCAGAGAAGGAAAAGAGTGTGAAAGCGGTTGCTTGAATATCAGAAAAAAAATGAAAGAGCTGGTTTTTAACGAGTGGGGAGTGTGTGATGTAAATACAAGCATTTATAGAGTCAAGAATGCAGGGCGGCATTTATGAGGGCTAAAGGGCCCAAAGATAAACCGATGCATGCAAGAATAAACAAACAGGGCAGTATAGATTCTCTTAGGAAATAAAATGAAAAAAAAAGAAGAAGAAGAAGAAGAAGCAGTGATATGAGCAGCCCGGCAATATTGATAAATGGGGACTATCAGCTTTTCTTTTCTATTAAAGGAGAATGCTAACTTAACAAGGAATCAACCAAAACTGTCAAATTTGGATGGTATTCATGATTTTCATGGTAAATCTTGCTTCCAATTCGGTTTCTCATTGAATGTTAAGCTATGATTACGTAATGAAACACTCTTGCATGCAAGAGGTTATTAGAAGCTCAAGCTCCCTTAGAAAAAAAAAAAAACTCTTTAATGACATTAGGTAAGAAGACCTGAAATCTCAATAGATTTGTGGCAATGCAGAAACTTGTTTCTCTCATTTGCATGATTTGGCCAAGCATAAGATTGGTACTCTTTTGATGTCTAAAGTTGATTTTAATTAGGACAGGATTTAGTTTGTGGACAACATATCAAAGTCCATAACCTGAAAAAATAGGTCCAGGACAACCAGGAAAAAAGAGAGGCAGAAATTTCTAAAGTGAAATTAATTAATAATAAATAATAACCAAAAGAGGCCAGCAGGAGGTTCAAGACTGCAAGTTACAACATGGGCCCAAAAAATGAGGAGAAAAAAAGAAAGCAAAAACAATGGGTGGAGGGGTGTCTAATCTATAATCTGGTATTGAATGCTGATTTGAATTCATCCAATTCTCAGCAGTCTACAGACCACTGACTGAAGACTTTGATGAATGAATTTGGATTAAATCCAATTGGGCAATTCAGGAAGATCCTGGAAACTTGTCTGCAAATACTTATCAATTGGAAATGGAGATTATTGGTTGGCCATAGCCACAGTTTCTGTGAATTTTAAATTTAGTATATTTCCATGTATTAAGGGGTTGCTTCAGCTTGTAAGTGCCTAAAAATAAAAAGCAATGGGCACCAATAGCAGGCTAAGTAGCTTAGAGGAAATCCCAGAGAAACCATGTGCTAAAGATGGTGGTAAATTAAGCCCTTCTGTGGGCTGGAAAAAATTTGTGAGACATTGGGGTAAGGAGTATGGACAGTCCTGCTTGGGTAGAGAAAGTGGTCCTTTAAATGCATTAATTGTTTTTAGCTACTGCTAGATACTTTTAGCTTGCCAGGAGAAGTCTCCCTCATTGATTCAGCCCCCTGATATTTTTGGGTGCTTTAATTGATATTCACCAGAATGTATTATTGAAACTGTTAATCACAGTTCCTTTGTCATTTCACAGTAAACTAGTAGATAAAAGAAAAGTTAATGATTCTTTTAACCTTGGTGGAAGGAAAGCCAGCAAGCAAGCCACAAAAGATCTATCAGAACTAATCGTCACTTTAACTGTAATATTGCAATAGCATCGTGAGGAAGCTGGGAATGAAAGTTATCTCTGACAGATCAAAAAAATCCAATAAGTTCTGATTTCCTAGGCAAAAAACAAAATATTGAGTACACAAAATGATAAAATATTGATAAAATATTTATTTATTTTTGAATGTATACATCAAGAAGGTTCTGACAACATCATATATACATCAAAAGATTTCAAAATGAATAGCTAAAAAATTATTGAGAGTTTCAATTTGCAATAAATTAAAGATTTCTCAATCCATTGTGAATCTACCCTTGAAAATGATAGTACCACAAGAACCAAATCTGGTACTGTCCATATGAATTGAATATTCACAGAGTAATTCCATGAGGCAGGCAAAGAGACCAAGTATGGATAAACTCTTGGTTGGCAAGAAGGAACTGGAAAAGTGTACAAAGATTTAGTATGTGAAGCCACCATACATATGAATTGAATACACGCAGACAAATTGCATGAGGCAGATAGGCAAAAGGCCCAGGTATGGATAAACTCTTGGTTGGCAAGAAAGAACTTGAAAAGTGTAGAAACATCGGTTGTAGACTTGCAGTATTATCTTTTAGTATTTTGGTAGCCAATTTGTATTTCTTTATATATATATATCTGAACTTTGATAGTGGTATCAGAAGATGTGCCATTTCAGGAAACTTGATCTCAAAGCTGATTTCAACTTGTAGATAATTGCATTATCTTCATCTGCAAATTTTTTTTTTCCTCTGATTCAATTGGAAACATGTATTCGGACCACGTAAAGTAATCTTTTCTCATCTAATAGACTCATCTCATTTATCTTAAAATTCGAATCGAAACCTTGACATATATAACATCTCAAACATGCAAACCCGAAATTATTTTTTTATGAATTTACTCTCAATTTAAATGATCTAATAAGATAAAAAAGCATAAGGATTTTTCAAATGTATAACAGCTAGATTATGTGTGCATATAATTTATCTTCCTTATATGTAATTAACCCCAAAATTAAGTCTCAAATTAATGACAATTCGAAATCAAATTGTAGCTAGTTAGTCTCATCATCCATATTATAGATAAATTCTTATTGTTGCCATGTGCTAATTTTTTAGTATGTCTTATATAATGTGATTTTAATTAATTTTAAAGTCCAAATTAGAAATTAAATTTTTTATTATAAGATTTTATTTTTTTATAATTAATTTTACAATCCCAAAGACCTGTCCCAACTCACAAAGGTGCAACAAGCAAAAGGAAGAACAAATCAGAAGTAAATTAAGGCAAAAATCAGAAGTATTTTATTCCTATATTGATAAGGGATACCCCAAGATAGATTGCTCTGGAACCAATCTTCTCTTTTGCAGCAGAAGTTGAGCAAACCTTCAAGCAAAAGTTTAGCATGTAATGGTTCTTCATTGTTGCATCTGTTAGTCAGGAAGTCATGGAGTCCATGAAATTTGAGCATAAACAGATCAATTATAAGCAAGGAAAATGAAGATCGAGGACTCCCAAAGTGGAAAGCAGATCCAAAATAAGCTTAGGGAAAACAAAGGATGAAAAACTGTTGGAAGGTTCCTCTCATTCATCATCAGAAAATCTATGGCTTCTTCTCCTCCTCTTTTCTTTCCTGTTCTTTCTCTTTCGCTCATGTCTCTCATCATCATCATCTGAGGAATCATCAATGTTCCTCAACTTCCTTCTGCCTTCATCCCTATCCTCCGAATGATCACTCGACCTTCCTCTCTTCTTCCTCTTCCTTACAAGAATCAATGTTCCTCAACTACATGACGTATTCCCTTTCCTAGTACTAACCTTCTTCCCATAACTTTCAGCAATGATCCTCTCAATCTCCGAATCAACATCCGAATCTCAGTCCGAATCCGATCCTGATGAACCATTAGCCTTCATAGCTTCCAGCTCTTTCTCCTTGTTGTCATCCTTAACACTCAGAAAGTTCTTGCACTGAACCCAAAGGTGCCCAACACGCCCACACTTCTTGCAAGCACCACGATCCTCATCAGCATTGGAACCATTGATCCTGGCAAGCTGCAAAAGGCTTTTGTACTCGTTCTCGGCATCAGGGTTAGAGCTAGACTTGGGGAAACTCCTGGTTCGATATCATCTTTGCTGTCAGGTGCATATGGATCATAGCGAATCACACTCTGCTATATAGCATGAGTCTCCAGGGCGCCAGGGCTCTACCGCTCGGCACCCGATTGTTTGCAGACATTCGAACCCTCCTCGCGGCAGCAGGCATCTTGAAGCAATAGAGATTTTGAAAGAATGATGGATTGGAATTGCTTGAATATATCCAAATAAAAGAATATGAACGATTTATTACAATACCAATAAGACAGGAAATATATTGGCATTGTTTGGATTCAATACCACACCAGGAATAAGCCTTTCAACCTCAGAAATCAATCGAAATTCAGATATGAATCCGTATGTTATAACAGTTTTGTGGATTGAATAGGATAGTTTAATTCTAGTTAAATTAGATTATCTTATTGAGCAAGTTTTTAATTTTAACTAAATTAAGATAATATATCCTAATTATACTAGAATGAGGGTAAAGTGACTTTCCAACATATTGCTCGGGATGGGAACTCGTCTGCATACATGCGTTGACTGTGAGTCTGTGTTCATACCATGGCGGTAGCTTTCATTAGCAAATTTCTTTATGAATACTTTTAGTTCACAATGTTTTGATATTGTAAAACTTAGCTTAGAATTGTGATACCCTTAATACCAGATATGTTTTGTTCATTGGTGTTACGTTTGCTCACACCAGCTATACTCTAATTGTAGTAGGAACAATTTACTGTACCTTCACTGTATTGGATAGATTGTTAATAAAAAACCTCACTAGCTGAGCAAAAAAATTTATTGCATTTAACATATTCTAATTATACTCAAATAAAATTATTGTACTTGGTCCTATGAAAGGACTATATGTAGTTAAAAATAAAATAGTATCTAAATGTAGAGAAAGTGATTTGATCATATTGGTGGAATTCAGATTATGAACTTAAAAACTGTTCTTATAATTTCTTGATATTTTTATCTGTTACTGTGTTTGTGAACATAGGTATAAAAAAATCGAACCAAAATCAAAATTTAGATAGAATCTTTGGTACAAAGAAAATCGAAGGCTTACATGTCTAGAGTGTGAAGTAAGATGAAACTAAAAGAATAGAATCATTGGTGATTCTCTTTGCATGGGACGTCCGACAATCTATGAGTTCTTGAGTAATCACAACCAAATTGAGTGGCTTAAGGCTATCTATATCAACTTAAGAAATTGTTTAAAGAAGTGAAATTGATTAATCTTTAAAGCGAAACATGATTATCACAATGATTATCAAGTATCATAACAAGTTTAGGTGTATGAATTTTTTTTTTTTTTGTGTGTGTAAGGTTGGTGTATGAATTTTCTTGACTTGAAATAGTAAATATCAGGTTTATGATTTTTTTTTCAAAAAAGTAGTTGAATTTTTTTCTTAAAAAATAGTTGAATATAGGTCGATATTGTTGATTTTCATTTTTTTTTTTGAATATTAAACCATGCATAAAACCAACAAAATGTTCTCCTTGATTTGAAATTTCTAGTAAAACTTTTTATATCTAGTGATCAAATCGAAATCTTTTTATATCACTTTAAACCCTAACCTCAAAGAACAATTTTTGAGCAAAAATTTTTCAGTAAAATTAGTAATCCGAAGTAAAAAATTAATTTTTTTAACCCGATACTATCAAGTTTGAAATATCCATAATTGAACAAAATATTTACTTTATTTTAATAAAAAAAATCTTAAACTATTGGATAAATAAAGACTGGGAGATAATAGAGTTTACCTCAAAAGATGTTTACAGTTTTCAAGCTAGATTAAGCTTCAATTTCTAAACCTTCAAATCAAAAGTTTTTAGATTTTATTTAATTAAAAATTTAGAGAGAATGATGAGCAGATTTTTTGAAAAGAAAATTGATATAGTATTTGGTCTAATTTTTTTAAAAGTTGATTAAAAGTGTTAATAGTCAAAAATCAAAAATATCATTTTAAAATAAAAAGGATCAACGTATCTTGGTTTAAGGAGTTTTTTAAATTTTACCCAATCTCCAAAGGGTACAAGAAAGGGATTTGATTTGAACAATAAGAGGGGTTATTGGCTTGCTGCTGATAATGTTGCTTCTCCTGTATGCCTTATTGCTTTATAAAATTCAGTCTCTTGTTGCCCTGGATAATGTATTGATTTCGCCAAATTGATATTCAGTATTATGGTGAAGATGAAACAGAGTCTCCATACTATTCTCTTTCAAAGAGTATTAGCATCAATGACCTGTTCAATTCCTGTCCACTCCATTCTCGATACCAAAGTCATGTTGATAGTCGCCATTCTCTCTCGCGGGGGTGGAAAAGTAGTCGGCCAAAGTCCTGGTCTTATGAGTTTTGAAGACCGGCATATTAAATTATTAATTTTTTAATGATATAGTTTAGTAGGACAAGGCACCTACTAGCTGCCGTCTTAAGAATGGTGGATGGCTTTGAAAGTTTTGTCTTTGACAAATGGTAAGAGAAAGATCATAAGTAGAATTACAAACATATAAACCTACTGTCCAATTACTTCGGATAGAAAAGTTTGAGACCTGTCCAGACCCGTCCGCATAAGATGTATATTGGTTGAACCTGGTGCAGCAAGTGAGCGTGATAACAAAGGCTAACACTTGATTGAGTTTTTAAGGTTGATAACTAAATAAATATTCTATTCTTAATTAGAATAGAATTATCTTAAACTTTTAGTACAAGTAAATTAAATAAAAAAAAAATTCTATTATAACTATAATTCTTATATTAATCTCGAGAAATTCTTAATCTTCGATCTTTTTGTTTTGGCTTTGGCTTTTGTACTATTAGCTTTTGACGCTCAACCTGAGCTAAGAAGTTATCTGCTAGACCTTCTATATCAGTACCAAAAAAATCTTTCTGTAACAACTGCTTCATCATGTACCAAGTTTTAACTGGTGCTTTCCCCTCGCGTCTCCTTCTGGACTGCAACCTTTCCCACCATGCAGAAGCCTCACCTTTCAATCTACAGGCTACAAGTCTCACTTTTCTTTCTTCTGGAATTTCCAAATAATCGAAAAACTTATCTATTTCTGCAATCCAATTCAAAAAATCTTCAATATTCAGACTCCCATTAAAGTAAGGAATATCTATCTCGCAGGCATCTCTCTCACCATAATCATTCAATGCCACCTTTTGATATTGCATTGCAAATCGTAAGGTTTCAATTCTCTGATCTTCATCATAAAAACCGTAATCTACCATAATTGGGACACTTGCCATTAGATGAGATAAGTTTTCCCCGCTCTAATACTGACGAATGCAACGAGTTAGCGTGAAAGCAAAAACTTAAACTCAAGTTGGAAGAAAAAATCTGTAATGTTATTTGATGATTCAAAAAACTAAGCTTAAGTATCTTATTTATAGTGTTGTAGTTTCATGTATTAATAAAACTCTATTTCTGGTTGTTTAATACAACTAGAATAATTAACAAGAGATTCAAATAAAATAAATATTCAATTCCTAATTAGAACAGGACTATCCTAAAGTTTTAGTACAAATAAATTAAATAAAGAGAAAATTTTATTATACTTATAATTCTTAAGTGAGTCTCCTAATTAAATAAGAAAAATACTAAAATTATGAACATAAACATTTATAAATAGGTCCGACCTATTTAAAGTGGCAACTGCCAGAGAAACTTTTGTATAAACCAGTCTCCTACCTCAAGGTTAAGCCAAAATTTTCATTTTGTCACACTTGACAATCATATGCTCCACCATGCCGTTTCCTAGCAAACCCACTGTCAAACTTAATATTTCGTTCATAATTTTACTTCACTATGTCTGATAAACTTATGTAAAATTATGAATATACAACTACGTACAACAAGATCGAGGATGGAACTTATGAGAAACAAAAAACATGTTTCAGAAACATTGTTAGGCAGGGAAGGAGAAACCGATGAAGTTTTAGTGGAATTTTAGAAAACATGTTTCTTAATGTTTAGATAACTATAGACTGTAGACATCGAACCCTTCACAGAAGTAGAAGATCTGTTGACATTAATCTACTTGTCATTGGATTAAAGAATGTAAGAGCAGTGACTCTCATAAGCTGTTTTTTTTTTTTTGAAATTGGAGCCATTTTTATCAATCAACCAGGAGTGAACAATCCTGTACAAGAATCAAGATCAGTCCCAGGTTCTAAATTGCCATCAAAACCTATAGCAACTTAAAATCCAGACTTTACAAAAAGAACACAGAGCAAGGGAGTCCCAACCTTTCCCTATACAAAAAGCCTCTTCCCTCAAAACAAATCATGACAGCTCCTAATCAAAATGCCAATTCCAGTGCATCCCACCCACACCATAACAAATCAAACCTGCTGTGAAGAGCCAGCATCCTGTTCCAAACTCCCAGCGATTCTGGCTGTGAAGAGCAGTGACTCTCATAAGCTGTTTGATGGGCCAAAAATGGAGAGATTGATGGCTTTGTTTATGGCTGCAAAGCAAAATTTAGATAGTCCTTCATACAAAGAAAGTCTTCCAACTAGAGAAAAGAAGAATTGATAATGGACTGACCATTGCAACATAGACACATTCAAAACTCTTAGACAGGCTTCTTTTAAATATAGAAGTTTATTTGTTTACGTAACAAGATAATGACAAATAACCAAATCGCTCATAAACGATAACAGATGTCCAAATAATTAGAGTTTGCAAGATTTTCCATCTTCAGAAATGTTGATGGCTTTTGAACATTGTCAATAGACAAACGTGTAAGAGACAGATCAGACTAGAGTGAGTGGGTGGCAAACATATAGACAAATAGTCACAGTTCTTCTGATAGAAAAGCTTGAGATATTTCTACTTCCCTGTTGATAAAGTGGGTCCAGACTCCGGACAGTGACATAAAGCAGTGAACAAATTAAACCTAACCTGGAACTGCCACCATCTGTGGGAAAAAATTTGGCAATAATGCATATATATCAAAGCATGTGCCGTGCCTATTCTGTTCTTCTCCAATTTTCCCAGATGGGTTATTCTATTTTTCACTTTCTGCAAGACCAACAGGCAACAGGCTCAGGCCTTTTCAAAGTGCCAACTGCCAGAGAAACTC